CTCGCACCGCTAGGGCAAACGATTCGAGTACGTGAAACTCTATTCCTGGTCTCCTGAAACCACGCTCTAAACTACACGTAGGAGCTTTTAACGTCCGAACACTGTGCCAAATAGGACAGCAGGCTTCCTTAGCTAGGACTTCAGAATCTCGCGCAATCGATGCGTGCTGCGTCTCCGAAATGCGCATACAGGATCAGAGTAGCGTCATTCATTTGACCTCACCAAGCCAAAATAAAGAACCGACTGCATCTACGCTTCGTGTATCTGGAAGCACTGATTCTGCTTCCCGTGGCCTCGCTGGCGTAGGTATAGCATTGAGTCCTAGGGCAGAACTAGCTCTTTTAGACTGGATCCCAGTAGACAGTCGTTTGTGCGCTGTCCGACTGAACGGAACAGTAAGTATCCGGAAAGACAGGGACACTTGTCGTTGCCTTTTCGACGTCTCTGCCTATTCTCCCATTGACTGCAGCTCAGATGATGTAAAGGATGAGTTTTACAGAAAGCTCTCCGACCTCCTCCTAAAAGCTAGGCGCTCTGATGTAGTAGTAGTGGCCGGTGATTTTAATGCTCAAGTAGGTAAACTAAGCGATAGGGAAAGACACGTAGGTAGACCTTATGGTGTCGTGGCTCAAAGAACAGATAATGGCGACCGTCTGTTGCAGCTATGCTCAGATAACCGCCTGTTCCTTGCAAATACTAACTTTGAACATAAGGAAAAACATCTTTTAACATGGCTACTCCATAATTCGTCCCAACGTTGGACCCAAATAGATCACATCGCTATCAGCCACCGATGGAGGGGCTCGGCAGAAGACTGTCGCTCATTCTGGAGCACATGCTTAGATCCAGATCATGCTCTAGTGCGAGCGCGCATCTGTCTACGTCTTACTGGACGTAGGAAAGACGCTGCATGGAAACCTCTTAGGGCCCTATTTAATGATAGTCAAGCTAAGAGTATATTTCAGGAACAACTAGAAAGACAATTAGTAAGCCATGTATGTGATGCCTACCCCGATGCAGAATGGAATGATATCCGAAAAGCTGTGGAAACAGCAGTGATGTCTGCTAGTACGGTAAACCACAAGTTAGGGAGAGACACTGGATCTCAGCAGCATCTACAGCACTGATAGATGCTCGGAAACTGATTCCACCTGGCTCTGAACATAATGAAGAGCGGAGTCAGCTTAAGCACAAGCTGAAAAGAAGCCTACGCAATGATCGCGAACAGTGATGGGTAGCGAAAGCAAGAGAGATGGAAAAGGCAGAGGCAATAGGTAATAGCAGACAATTGTTCAGACTTGTTAAGGAAACCGACTGTTAGCGAAACACTCTCAGAGAAAGATGGACATATTATACATTCTTAATCCAGGAGATTGTATCGATGGGCAGAACACTTTAGGGATCAGTTCAACTGGCCTTCAGCAACACTTAGGTTTCTCACGATCTCCAGTCAACCTGAATGGAAAGTTAATGTAGGTCCTCCGACTCTTTACGAAGTTGAAAAAGCCATAGGAAATCTGAAACGAGGGAGAGCAGCAGGCCCTGACAGGTTTACCCCTGAGATTTTTAAGGATGGCGGTCTAGTATTAGCGATGAGATTAACTAAGGTCCTAGGTAGAATTTGGGAACTGGACGTAACCCCATCTGACTGGTATCAATCACTGATTGTGCCAGTTTATAAGAAAGGACAAAAGTCCTCATGTGACAATCACAGAGGAATCAGTTTGACAAATATAGTATCTAAAATATTAGCTTCAATAATACTTCGACGCCTAACCAAAGCTCGTGAAGAACAGACTGGAGAAAATGAGGCTGGTTTTCGACCTGGACGTGATTGTATAGACTAGATATTCACACTACGTCAGGTTCTAGAACACAGACACACATTCTGACGTCCCACAATGGTAGTACCTCTCGACGTTAAGGCAGCATTTGACTCTGTTGGTCGTGAGGTCCTATGGCAGTGTTTGCCATTGAAAGCAGTACCAAAAAAGTACATTAACCTTGTGAAGGCTCTCTAGTAGAACACAACTGGTAGAGTGAGATCTTATGGCGAACTGTCATCAGAATTGATTACCTCAAGTGGTGTTCGTCAGGGCTGCCCACTCTCTCCATTCTTGTTTAACTTTGTCGTTGACATGCTTTTAGAGATAACACTTTCCACATCTGACTTTCCAGGGTTTGAGCTTCTATCAGGAGATTCACTTGTTGACTAAGAGTATGCCAATGATATATTTGGTGGGGACGCTGACAAAATGCAGTCCTCTGTCCACTCTAAGCAACAATGCAGGCATGTTCGGGATGCGATTCTACCCTCGAAATGTAAAATGTTGCTTCAGAATTGGGTTGCATCGACACCCGAACAAATGATAGGGAGTGAGGTAGTTGAGCGTGTCGACCGATTCACTTATCTTGGAAGTCTCATCAGCCCTTGTGGTTTGGTGTGTGACGAAATCTCAGCACGGATACAGAAGGCTCGACTAGCTTTTACCAACTTGCGTCATTTATGGAGTAGGCGAGATATCCGTTTATCAACCAAAGGACGGGTTTACTGCGCACTGCCATTATGATCACCATTAGAGAAATATATTTCGGTTGATAGTCTCCAATTTACAACTAAAATTTGATGACTCAACCTGAATTGATTTTCCCGTTATTTGAGTAGAAGTGTGTCAACCGACCATGGACAAATCTAGATGAAGGCGTTGGGTCACACATTTAAACTTGATCACGAGTGGATATGCTACGCTACGCATCCTTTACGACTGCTACCCAGATTAGATTAAATGCTTCGTAATTTATCGATAGCCTTTCAAATATTTCTTCCAACCTCGTCACCTCTGACTCCTGATTTGACCGGGTTGGAATACTTCGATGACAAAGATGTTACATGTAAAGTTGTCAAACTCCGAATGCCTGTGGCATCTTCGATTCCACTATAGAGGATTCATCAGGTGTCATTGCCATCGTTTCAGTTAGGAAGTCCTCTTGCCAACTAGAACCACAATAGTGCCTTAGGTGAGCGCCGAAATAGGTCTGGGTGATTCTGATATCTAGCTACCATATATCCTGGGAATAGAGCGGAAAAGTTAGTAAGCGCTCATAATAATAAACTTCTGCAAAGGCGGGTACACGCCATTTTTACAGGCATGATCTATAAATTACAACATTTACTGCTTCACAGTATGCATGTTAAATAAATATAGTCGATAAAAGTGAATATCACTTCATTCCTTCAGTTGTCTTGTCTGAATATGATGAACATTTAACTGGAATAGCATAGTAACACAAGCATTCACTGATCATAGGCGATAAATTTCTCCGCACACCTCATATCCACTTGCATATACATACACACTTTTTGTCTTTCAAACACTACAGCAAATACTTCAGACGTTGTTACCGTGATTCGATAACCTAATTAGTACATTTTTTAACGAACGACCTTGCACCTATTTATATCCGATAATTTTGATTATATTTCCGTAAAAAAGCTTGTACCAGATTGCCGAGCGAAACTTCGGATTGGTTTCATATTCAGAGATTTTACAGATATATTCTTCTTCCTGGCATGTATGTACATCTTGGGACCCGATATAGGAAGTAGTGATTAACTAACAAATTCCAGTGTCATGCAATATTCTTTCGTCATACAAGCATAACTGTGAATGAACTAAAGATAAGATAATAAAACTAATTATAGTTATTATCAGGTACATATATATTTTTGATTTAGATCATGAACCGATTGACGTTAGACCATTTTTGGAAACCTGGAAGCACTGGACGGCCGTTTCGTCCTATTGTGGGACTACTCAGCAGTGCGCATCCACGATCCCGCCCCCCCACGAGATTCAAACTCAGGGCCTTCGGTCTCGCGCTCGACCTACTGGACCACTAAGCCGGCATCCAGTGGTGGTAGTGTCCAACATCAACCAATCCACGAAACTACGCGACCAACTTCCATTGTACTGAGGTAGATACCTGTCTCTACCCGACATAGATTAGCTCCACTGGTCACGGCTTCTCACTAGAACTCCAAGAATTCCCTCACGAAGCTAGTCACCAGTGAGCACATGTTGATTACTAGTATAGGGGTTGTGGATCATGATCTCAATCAAAAAATTAATAATCTCCACAACTTCTAAACTAGTACATAAATATTTAGATTTCACTAAGAACTGACAGACACTTTCATCAGCATCAGCATTACTATCTTAGGTCGCCGCCTACCAACACACTCCATTCAATCCTGTCGTAGGCAATCTTTTCTAACTCTTTTCAAATGTTTGTTTTGAATATACATGTATATAATCCTCCTGTATATACTTACTTACGCCTGTTACTCCCAATGGAGCATAGGCCACTGACCAGCATTCTCCAACCCACTCTGTTCTGGGCCTTTTTTTCTAGTTCCATCCAATTCTTGTTCATTTTTCTCATGTCTATCTCCATTTCTCGGTGTAATGTGTTTTTTGGTCTTCTTCTTTAACTTTGCTTAGCATTGAGGATTCCATGTGAGAGCTTGTCTTGTGACGCGGTTCGGTGCTTTCCTCAATGTGTGTCCTATCCACTTCCACCACTTCTTCCTCCTCCGCTGGGATCTGGTTTGTTCTCTCCCATAGTACGTTGTTGCTAATAGTGTCCGGCCAATGGATCTGAAGTATTTTGCGTAGACAATTGTTAATAACCACCTGTATTTTCTGGATGATGGCTTTTGTAGTTCTCCGCCTGGAGTCCCTCCGGGGCTACTGCCGGTCCCAAGCCCGGATAAAGGAGGAGGGTTGGGCATGGGGTTAGCGTCCCAATCCCGTAGAAAACTAACTCGCTAAAAAAACGCTAACCAGAAAAATTATTCAAACCTCATGTATATAAATTACATAATAATAAAATACACATTTTGAGCACCGAAGAAGAAAGATTTATTTATTAATTCTCAAATACATAACTGATAATAATAATAATAATGATTTATCATGAATTGTATTTGTCCGATAAGCATTATTATTATTATTATTATGAAAGAGACAATCAGATAGAGGAACAATACAATGTCAATCTAATCATGTGTTTAGACTAAACATAAGTGAAAACTGAAGTTAGATACTGCATACAAAATGAAATAAGAATAAGACTAAGCAAATAGTATCATCATACAAATGGAAAATATTCTCTTCATAAAACAGAAGATATACATACACCGTTTCTTTCTTTCTTTCTTTTATTATCATTTGATTACTCACTCATATTAATTATGTGATATAACTTATACAACAATAAACAACAAATGAACCGATATATAAGTGATTGATTGTTGAATGAATAAAAGAGTGAAATATAGTATGTTTTAGTTGATGATTAGTACTTCCTGTCGTCAGATAATCCACCACTACAAGTAAAATAGAATAATAATAATAATAATAAAGAAACAAGATAATACCATATAGAACAAATATCATTAAAAATAAATAAATAAGAATATTTGTAATATCCCAATGACGTTTCGTGACTTGATGTAAGTCACTTCTTCAGAGTAAATAAATAATCAAATTAAAATGAATCCAAGTTTAAATAGTACAACGGAACAATAAGAATAATATGTGATCAATCAAAAACAGGTCTGAACAAGTTAATATGAAGAAGTTTTAATTTGGTTATTTATTTGCTTTGAAGAAGTGGCTTACACTAAGTTACGAAACGTCAGAAAATCTAATTTTTCTATTTATAACAATCTATCCAATGCTCAACTTAATCGAAATTATCAAATCAAACCTTGGTAATGATACCTAGAATATTATTATATGTGTGAAAATTATATTTGAAATAATCTCAACGATTCAAATTTAAAACAACAATTCCAACGTTTCGCGGTCCAGCTAACTTGTCAAAATCAAAATCATCAAATAAATATACAGCGTTTTAACAATCAAAACTATACAGTGTTAAACCAATCAAATTTGGATGTTGTTTTGAAAGCTATATATTTCTTTGATGATTTTGATTATTCCCCTGAAGAAGTTCAGACAAGTTGGCTGGACGTGAAACGTTGGAATCGTTATTTTAAATTTCAATCGCTGAGATTATTTCAAATATAATGATTTCTCCATATTTGGCGCCCAATTTCTGTCAAACTATTCGTTTTAATCTTGACGAATACATTTAGAAATCATAAACAAAATAATGGGAATCCATAGTAGAACATGAAAACATTTTTTTAATGATAGGTAACTGTGTTCACTGGTATGAGTCTTGTGATAGAGTAGATAATAAATGTTAATACACGATAAAACTATTACATAAAACTGATAATGGTTTTTGAGAGGATTGTTTTAGTTGTGATTAATTTTGACTAAAAATTCAAAGAAGCTTGTGTGGGACTATTGATTAATTAGAAGCTGAGTTGTGTTTACCATAAGAACACAAGTTTTTAATGAGGGCTGGTAGATTGATATAGACTGAGAAACATTAAAGTAGAATGGGTTTACTGAGCAGCAGTTCGTTCCGTCCTACTTTATGGCAGTGAAAAACGGCCAGCAAGAGTAGAGGATATTCGTAGGTTACTCGTATTCGAAATATTGCTTATATATCCTGGGACCACCGAGTAAGTAACGCAGATGTTAGGAAACGAGTACTAGGTAAGGATGACAAATCAATTGATGAAGTAGTGAAATTTCATCAGTTGAGATGGCTGGGACAAGTGTTATCTATGCCCAACCACCGACTACCCCGATGAGCGATGTTTTCTGATGTAGGAGTAGGTTGGAAGAAAGCTAGTGGCGGCCAGACTAAAAAATAGCACAAATTCATGAAGTCACTGACAAGCGGACTGAGCCATGTTGGTAGGTGAAGACTATCTGATTGGGATCCGCGAGATGAATAGCAACCGATGGTTTATTTATTTGAAGACATAAATACCGATGGTTAGAGACCTTGAATCACATGGCTCAAAATCGGTTGTAATGGCGCAGGTGCATACACTCTTTGTGTTCTCCTAGATTAAAATCTTCTGGATTCTTCATATCGCTTCCATTTTTCTGTTTCCAAATTCATTTCACTAGATTATACTCCTTGAATGATAACTTCAAACACTAATCTTTCCGATTACTGCTGATACTTTCACTACGGGATTTGAATCGACAATTGTGTCTCTGTGCTAACGTGGTATGGGAAATTGAATTGATGTAAGTACGTACGAAGTTCTACATTGTTGCTGACTGACTGAAAGTAGAATGGAGCAGCTTGCTAGTCTTCAACTAATTGATCAGTTGAACGAATTCTGAGTTGAAAATTGTTGTGGACATTTTCGCTCGGATCGATCATCTAACAATTAGTAGGGGAGTTTCATCATTGAGGTTTTAGGGTGAAATATTTATAATTAGCCATGTCAATCATTCCAAATCGATCTATATGACAAGCCAGAGTCGCGTAGACAAAACCAAACACCCATTGACAGTAGATAAAGTAGGACATTACCATCTCAAATGGGTTGAAGAAAAATGCCTATGCAAACCAATTTTTTAAACAACAACATACCTAGAAAGTCGTGAAGGGAATCCTGAGCTACCAAAAGGTCGTTTCCTTTACAGTAAAGAAAAAAATTATGAAATTCATTTGATTATCTTTCAAATTAACGACAAAAGATACAACAACAATAACTGGCTAGTGGAATGAGATGATCATCAAACTATGTGATGCATATTATGGCAATACACATTTCACACAATGCGATTACAAGTTACTTGTTAAGATTTGTCTGACAATTAATTATATATACACCTTTAAAACATTCAGTGGAAACGTGCAGCACCAATAATGAGAATCCCGTTCTCTAAGAGTTGTTCTCAATAATTTACAAAATATAGGTGAACAGTTTGATTGTTTAGTATTTACATAAAAAAACTCGTTACAAAATAGGACACCAAGATGGATATCACACACATACACACACGCAAAGAAAATAGGAGTGCAAGAACTGTAAGGAACAGTAAAAACTGAAGTAAGAAGTATTATCTACTCAGTTCAACAAGGGTCAATTTCCTAGCAAAATTATTGAGTTGGGATTGCTATCGTCGCTGAACAATTAAACCAATACGTGAGAACACTTAAGATGTTAAGCTTTGATGGGAAGTGCGGTGACCTAAGGCTGATCTGTCTAAAAATTACTTGGCATATACATCTAAAACATAAGGCTACTTGACAGAATGAAATTGATGGTGGACTATTGTTCACTCACACGATAAATAAGTGAATAGTTGGGATGTGAAATGTGGAAATTGATGCTTTTTGACTTGATGCGCAAGAATTGAACTAGATGGTCAGGTCTTAATTATACGGGCAAATTAGTGACCCACAAAACATATTAGTAATAGCCCATTTGATATTTATTTATTTGAACACATAAATATTGGTACAAGGGGCACCAAATATACATGCGCCACACAAATCTCATTTGATTTGTGTGAGGTCTGTGATATACCCCGTGTGTCCAAACCGAAGCAGGTGGTATTTTTAGAAGGCCACATCCGGAGCCTTCGACACAAAGGTCTGATCCACAAGGCAGTGGAGCATCGTAAGGAGATGCACTTTCAACGATTGGTTCATACGCCATTTGTTCTTTCAGGACATTGGAGGCCATGTGCACCATTGGTTTGGAATCAGGGTTTTCAAACTACCCTAGGTGGACTCTCCGTGTCCAACAATCCAGTTAAAGCGCCGGACATTCGCTTTTCGTCATCTCGATCTCGTAAACAACACCCCCGCCACGAAAAGGTAGTGAGTACGGCTTCCCTGACGGAGACTAAAAACGCGTGGCCATGTGAGAGCATTCGGGGGCTCATTCGACATAGGATATCTCATATGTTTATTTTATATTAAGGTATTATATTCTTACAAGACAAAAACGTACTATGCTGATTGCGTTTAATCACAATTTACATCTATGTGCTGGGATCAGTAACTTTGTCTCGTGAGGAGCTACCACTCGATTACATTGTATAGGTGCGCACAGTAACCAATCGGTTTATTAACTGTTGTGGATGCAGAGGAATAGACCAATAATGATCATGTTAAGTCCAATGGTGTCCTTGGACTTTAAATGGACATTTCCTATTGGTCGATATCTGTTCACTTGTTGTATATTGTACAAAATGTTGTTTTCTATTTTATGGTACGATGTGGTGTGCTTGATTGGTATATAAACAAAGTATGTTTGAAATATAATGATTCATATCTCAGAGTCTGTGGCTTGTGTTCTGGACTCAACTAACTGGGCTAGACAGGGAAGTAGGACCAATCAGAACTGTAGGCCGTTCGTTCGTGTTTACGTGTCACTGTCACTGTAATCGATCGTCAAGGACACGACAATTAGCACAGGGTAAAATTCGACAGCAAACTTAAAGCCATAACATTAACATAAACCACAGCCAGACTTTTGAACAACGGGGACAGTGGTAAAAACACTGAGTTTAACCAACAGATTGCAGGTCTGACCATTATACTATTAATAAGGGTTTGGAAACCAATTATTAGTAGTATGTAACTGGACATCACTTAAACAGTACTTTGTGAATAAATTACATTATCATCATATCTTTTAGATCATACACGAAGGTACAAATAATATCAACTTTTATCTCAACGGTCGATGTTTGCTAGTGTAGGAGCAAGCTGGAAAAAAAGCTCGAGGTAGCCACACCAAAAACGTAGCATCAATCCATGAACATGATTATCACTGAACTTGAACCATGTAAGTAGGTTTAGACTGTCTGGCTAATTTCTGTGCAATAACTGCGACCGATTGATGGAGACTTTGTACAACACGGTTTAGAATTGGTTCACGTTTTCTCATCTTTTCAATTATGACTTAGAGTATCTTTTCAATCCCATCTCTCTGAACCATATTCCCAATATTAATTGCTACTACATTATTCTGATTTTGCATAACTCATCATGTTACATTCATCTCGTCCTAATATAGCATAGTTAGTTGAACCAATGCACATATTCACCAGGAACTATGCTGATTATGACTAAATGTTGCTACACAAACCGACGACGATCATTGACCAATTATATACCAATAGGAAAAAAATGTAGTGTTCTACAAATTGAAACACTTGGATAAAATTTATGACATGTATGAAATCAGTAGTTGAACTGACCATATCGAAATTATGGAGATTTACAAGTACACAAACACACTTTATCTTAATATATCTTACAAACACTATGATCTAAGGTCAATTCACGGAATGTGAAGTTATTTTTAATTTCGAAACAAATTGACATAATGAAACGAACAAAAGCAACATAAAACTTACACATTACCACCTCTCATTTCTTCAAAAACTTGTGATTTGCCCGCTGTGGCATTTGGACCTCTATATAATAAACGAAAATAGGTTAAGGCAAAAAAATCATAAGAACTATTCAGATCAAATAAGGGACAAGAAGAATGACTTAGTGGTTTAAGCAATTAATGAGGTATTCCACTGATTGAAAAGGCTTTTCTATTTATTTCGGTTTGACCAGATGTATAGAATCCCAAACCTTTACATAGAGTAGCTTGAAAAGCAAACTATATAGATCTGGTTATCCGGGGTGAATCCGTAATCTAATAATTTAAGGTATTTAACTTTCATGACGAAGCCATTTATATTGTTCAAGACATCCAGATATTATTGCTATCACTTACATGCAAAGCGTAACTGTTTTAAAATGAGTAAAAAACCCATACACAGTTACCGAGTTACAGTATTAAATTGACTAAGTAACCTATACACTTGTTACCATAATGATGAAAAGTATTTAACTTTCATTCGAATTTCGTAATAATTGTGATAGTGAAACAAGGCCTTCAGAATAATCAATAAATTTCTGTAATTCAATGCAGTAATTTGACCGTAGAGAGTGAGTAGCTACTCAAAAATCTGACTGCACAAAAACTACTTTAGACGAACTTACTCTCTACGCCATGGAGTTGAGCTACCAGTGTCCATATCCAGATTTTTAGATCTAGGAGAATAAGTGGAAAATAAAACAAAACAAAGGAAATTTAATAAGGATCTATAAAAGAAATTAGGAAAAGACTATGGAAATGGATAGGACATACATTACGCAAATTATCAAACTACATCACGAGGCAAGCCCTAACTTGGAATCCTGAAGGGAAACGGAAAAGAGGAAGGCCAAGAAGAACACATTACGTCGGGAAACAGAATCAGATATGAAAAGGATGAATAATAACTGGAAAGAGCTGAAAAGGATTGCCCAGGACAGAGTTGGATGGCGAATGCTGGTGAGCGGCCTATGCTCCTTCACTAGGAGTAACAAGCGCAAGTAAAAGTTATTACTTAAATTAAAACTGACATGTACTAGTAAATTGATTTAAATTTTTGTTCAGAATATCTATCATATACGAAATAATGTTTCAGTGAATTAATAAAACCGTGAATAATGTTATGCTGCGCAGTGTCTGATTCTGGTACACGAGTCCGATCAGCTACTCCAATGAAAAATACGAGAGTAGGGAACTTTTATTTTCCAACTGAAATAAGTGTATATTTATTAGTATATACATCTTTGTCTCCGATAAAGTAAAGCTGAAATTCAAACTAATGGGGTGTGTCTGATTACTTAAAAAGGAGGTTGAATCCCGGTCAACAGCATACCCTTACCATGTGAGCTACATCTGACTGGTCTAGATGGTACTGTTCGAGAAAAGATACACGTGTAATAAACTGACTCAATTCAGGGTCATTATAGCTGATTCTGAACCATGTAACCTGTTGAGGCTAATGTCCTCAATATCTGACTCCAATAAATAATATCCCGTTAACTGAGTATTTAAGGTAGGCTTAATCTCCTAGTAGAATTACGGATTTACTCGAGATTATTGAGAAGACTGAACACCAGTTGTAGAGATAATTTATTGTTAATGATTAATAAAAATCCGCAAGTGTACAGCGAGCAAGCACACGATGAAACAGAGTGTGTTTAAAATCCATATATATTTTTGAGAGTTAATCGGGTGTGGATAAATTATCGATTATCAGTACATTGCAACCAATAGGAGGATAGCTTAAGGGTTAATGTACAGTCATGCATTCGATCATACACACCGAAATTAACATAGTGAATTAAGAGTCTGAGTTACAATGAATAGACAAATGATACAGTGGCAAAATGGGCTTGCCACAAACCCAACGTCTTTAACCACTGGTCGTGGTACCGATACAACTGAATTTAACAGTCTATGATTTCATAAACTGATGTTTGAGCTCCTTAAGTCTTCTATTCCAACTTAATCTTACTTCAGTCAACATTATGTGTTGAGGTAAGTCATGATTGAATATGTCTAGTACATATCAATGTTAATTCAGACGATAAGAATTCAAAGCTGTATAGTCACCACTCATAATCTATATCTCACTTCAGCATTAATCAGTGATTTAACCATATGCAAGCGATGTTTTGAAGACACTTGAAAGTATGTTTTCCTCCAACATAAACTCTACATGTTGAATAATTATTTTTTGTTAACAGTAGCTGATACCTTGAAGTGTTTTCTTTATCGTCGCTTATCATAAAAGCACAAACAAGCCGTATTAATTGGAGCATTGTTGCATAATATTGACTGAATTTATGCTTTACTAAATTAGCACATCAGATTCGGATAAACTGAAATCATGAGACAATTGAAGCTAGACCACCATGGAAAACTTGGAAGCACTAAACGGCCGTTTTGTTCTAGTATGGGACTCCTCTAAAATCACAAAATCCCTTTTGAAGATTATAAGTTTAAAACAATCTATAAGATTTGACAAGTCAATTTGATATATCCTAATCATTATTGTTGAAAGTGAATGACACAATCAATTAGAACTTATATAATAACTGATTAAATGTAAAGAAAAACACAAATAACCAATCAGTCAGGATATTTATCTCTTACGCTCTATTGAATCCACCACCCATTGTACTACCACCTCTACCGAATGGTCTTGTTCGTTCAGTTTCTATAATTATTTAAGAAAAGAAAGACATTAATTGCCGAAATAAATCGGTGAGAATGTACATAGCATACATGTTTCATAATACCAAAAAACAGAAATATACATATGCTGAAGAAGTTAACAACAATGATTTGTCATATAATGGGTCTGCGAAACCATATCATCAAATAAGACAGACGAATTATTACATAATAATCATTTCTAAAATATATGAAATACAAGCATTAGATTGCGGCGGTATATCAAGACAGTGAAATTAGTAGCTTATATCTCAATATACAAAAGACAAAGAATAGATAACAAATAAAAAAAGTTACTTGGAAACTAGGTTCATAAGATTACGTAATAAATGAAAATAGCTCAAAATAATTGGGGCATAAGGAGTCTAATTAACAATTTTGCTGAGATTACAAACTGTTTTTAACTAGATCATCATTGGAAACGTAGAAGCATGAGTATAGGACTTCACAGCAGTGCATATTCATGATCTCTCAACTAAAAATCAAACCCAGGACCCTTAGTCTGGCGCATGAGTACCTAACTTATAGACAGCTGAGCCGAGCATTTGATGGTATACAAATATAACTTTGATCGATAAATGATACTGCCTGACCGTCTTTCATTGACTTTAGTGGGTATCTTCCTCACACTCCAGTGGACACAGCTTCGTATTAAAACATCGGAAATTTCCCCCCGAAATAATTCACTAGCGAGTACATGATAATTAACAGTATGGGGTTGCGGATACTGTTGACTTTCACTGAAACCATAAATTAAACCTAGGCAACCGTAGAAAACCGAGGTATGAGGAACAATAAAATATAGTCAAGCACTATCATGGAGCGATTCAAGTCAGACTTGTACACGATTAGATGCCCAGTAGTCTAAGGGTTAGGCGACTGGGGATGACACCGAGAGTTCTGGGTCCCACTCCCGGTTGAGGGGTCACGTATACACACTACTGCGGAGCCACAGTCTAGCAAGAAACAGGTGTTTAGGGCTTTGAGGTTTTCACTGGTTGTCTAACTGTTGTGGATGCGCAGGAATAGACCAATAATTATCATGTTAAGTCCAATGGTGTCCTTGGACTTTAAATGGACATTGCCTATTGGTCGATATCTGTTCACTTGTACAAAATGTTGTTTTCCATTTTATGGTACGCTGTGGTATGCTTGACTGGTATATAAACAAAGTATGTTTGAAATATAATGATTCATATATCCGAGGCTGAAACTTGTGTTCTGGACTCAATTGGCTGGGCTATACAGGGAAGTGAGACAAATCAGAACTGTAGGCCGTCCGTACGTGTTTACTGTCACCGAATCGATCAATAAACGCTGCTTACCAAAACCTGCAGTCACACCCGTCATAACAATTGGCGACGGGGTAGAGAAAATTCTGAACCCTCTAATTGGACGAGATTCAGCATAATTATTTTGACCAATCAGCATCCAGATTGTCATCAGCGTCCTTGAGCAACATTGGTCATTATTCCTACAGTTAATTTTCATTCCTGGGTGCAGAAAAGAAAAAAAATGACTACCTTTTCCGATCAATTACAGCTTCTACTTGAGCAACAACAGCAGTGCTTCAAAAATAGCCAGTTGAATTTTTTAGGAAATTTACGCACACTGTTGGTAAATTTTCCATGTTTCGGAAATGCAGCAGAAGTTGATAAGTTCATTTCTCATCTGCAGACTGATCTGGAAAACAACTGCAGAACATATGAAGCTGCCTATAAAAGCCTCTGTGAATCCCGGACGACCAGTGATGTGAACGAGACAATCATTCATGATCCGCCCAGTTGTCCAGAAATGTCAAATTCGGAAACATTCCCTGTCGTGGGTTCAAATCCCACTGTTCCTGAAACGTGTACAGACAATGATGTACCCAGCTCACAGGAAGATCTCTCATTAAATGCTCATAAATTAATTGCAGTACCCGCCCACAACGGAGCAGGGAACGAATCGTGCAGTACACTGAATCCAGCTGTTTCAAATGGTCCTCATCAGTCAACAACAGAAGATTGTGATGAATCTTATTATCTAGATCCTCTTGTACCAGAAAATGTGTTAGATGCATCAAATGATGATCAGAAATCTAATGCAATTTTGATAGATGTTGATTGTCTCAGTGGTCAACTGTTTACAAATGAGATTTTCAACAAATCCCATGATAATGTTCCAGAAGAATCAAACGTTGATGACCTCATATCAAGCGACATTGATCCCCACTATTTAATCACTTTCAGTGACTTCTCTGTTAAATCTGACAATTATGTGTTAAATAAAGTCAAATTAATTATAACTTGGGAATATGAGGACCCAACATTATTTCGTGGGGGAGGATGAACCCAGAAAAATTCAAAATCCGGATATCAACTCCGGATCTTCAAAAAAGGGGAGGTGTTGTGGATGCGCAGGAATAGACCAATAATTATCATGTTAAGTCCAATGGTGTCCTTGGACTTTAAATGGACATTGCCTATTGGTCGATATCTGTTCACTTGTACAAAATGTTGTTTTCTATTTTATGGTACGCTGTGGTATGCTTGACTGGTATATAAACAAAGTATGTTTGAAATATAGTGATTCATATCTCCGAGGCTGTAGCTTGTCTTCTGGACTCAACTAACTGGGCTATACAGGGAAGTGAGACAAATCGAGACTCTAGGCCGTCCGTACGTGTTTGCGTGTCATTGTAATCGATCGATAACACAGGGTAGAAATTGACATCAATTTAAAGTCATAACACTAACTAAGATCGGTTCGTGATTTTAATAAAATTCGGAAGTCTCCACAACCCCATCCCTAATACTATTTTATTATTAGTAGATAGAAAATGTAATCAAGGTCCATACAATGCTACAAGTAAAAGTAGACTGTTTCAACTAATAAGTAATACAACGGTGACTGGTTGACTAAAACAGCTTTCCACAGTAAGAAAATATTGGAAGATTTGACGAATCAGCACTACTCAACAGGTCAAACCTACTTGAACGTGTCTAAAATCTATGTAATATTAAATTATATGAGCTGATAAAGATAAGTGAGACAAAGCAGTATGTAAGTACGTGAAAACTGGTCACTAGATTAAAGCTATTGGCTAAAAAAAATATAAGGTGACAGCAAACTAAATGCTGAATTAGAATCATTAAATATTAAGATACAACTTAGTTAGAGATTGTCACAATATAAAATAATATTTGCATAAATGATGCCAAGTTCAATTGTGAATAATAATAATTGTGCAGATCGATTAACTGAAACCACATTAGAATTTCACAATTAAAGATCAGTACGAATTTCGAATGCTATAGGTGTACAGATGATGGACAATGACACTTTAAGTGAATTCGTATGTTTTCTTTTTTTGAGTAATTTGGAATACTTCGTCAATAGAAAATTAAAAAATAAAATAATAATATGATTCAAGTTTCACTTAAAGTTTTAAAATACATGTTGTGTTAGGCAGTGAAATTTGCGATGTGTATTTCATCGCTCTCCTGCATCCTCCTGTTGAAGTTCATACAAAGACTTGAGTTCAGTACCCCTGTCACTTCATTAAACATCAAAGTTATGTTCAGAAAACAATGTTTAATTTTTAACATAATTTCCTTCAACAAATGAAGAGTAAACATTTTGAAAACAATTCTAAAAGATACATGTTCGAACTGTCATCTGCTTTTGCAACCTCAAGCGGTGTCCATCAAGGCTGTCCACTTTCTCCATTTTTGTTTAACTTCATCATAGACCTATTGATGGAAATAACGTTCTCGTCGGCTGAGTTTTCGTTCATTGATCTCCTACCAGGAGGTCCACTTATCGATTAGAATACGCAGATGACATAGTCCTGTTTGGTGAAGACGCTGATAAAATACAGAGTCTTTTGGTAGCAATAAGTAAGAATGTCTGGAATGCGCTTCTCTCCCTCTAAATGCAAGTTGTTCCTTCAGGCCTGGCATGTGTCAACACCTGAACTAAGGATAGGGAGTGAAGTAGTCGAACGCGTTAACAACTTCACTTATCTTGGAAGTCTGATCAGCCCTAATGGGTTAGTGTCTGACGAAATCTCTGTACGGATTCGAAAAGCTCATTTGGCTTTTGCCAACTTACGTCACCTACGACGAAGGCGAGATATCCGTTCATCAATTATGGGACGAGTACACTGCGCGGCAGTTCGTTCTGTTTTACTATACGGCAGCGAAATATGACCATTAAGAGTAGAAGATACTCGTAAGCTACTAGTATTTGACCACAGATGCCTAAGAAATATTGCTGGGATCACCGGGTAAGTAATAGGGAGGTTAGACACAGGGTATTAGGGAATGATGGAAAATCAGTTGATGAGGTTGTGAATCTTCATCGACTGAGATGGTTGGGTCATCTGTTACGGATGCCTGAACACCGATTACCACGACGTGCAATGCTAACCGGTGTTCGGGATGGCTGGAAGAAAGTTAGGGGCGGTCAAACCAAAACGTGGCATCAGTTCCTGAAGTCACTAACTTCTAGACTGAGCCATGTTGGTAGATGCAGACTACTTGATTGGGTGCACACGTGACTATCGTAACCAATGGTTGGAGGCTCTGGGTAACATCACTCAGAATCGATCACAATAGCGTCGGTGTAAACACTCTTTGTCTTCCCTTAAACTATGAGATTAAAATGGCTTCATATCTTTCTACGCACTAAATCTTTCTTCCTGTATTATGTCCTTATATGCAATCTTTTTTGATACATTACCACCACTGAATTAACTACTCCTATGAATCCGATGTTCATCTTGCTGTGCTAATGCGGTATGGGAACTTGGACCGATGCATATATGTGCCTAGTCCTACGTTGTAGCTGACTGACTGACTTTGTTTAGAAACATTAAATTCGATATGAACAATCCGAAAAAATTACGATTAATGAATAACCCATGAGAAAGCCTTAAATGGTAAACACGTGACAACCGATTGATCCTGTCGTGGCGCGCTTTATTTAAGCAAGTAAAATGGCACATTGATGGAATGGGAGGTTGGATGGTGACGAAGGAAGAACATGTCTGTCAATGGCAATCGTATTAATATCTGTGTTTGAGCTGAAATACTGACGAAATAGAAGCCAGAAGTTCTTTTACGAGGCTACATAACCTAGAGGACAAATCCACAAGAGAGTGAAGCAACGTTAGGTGATATAGTTCTATGGTGGCCGGTGACTAAAACAGGTTCGTATAATTGTTGTTTGTTTAGGATCCCAGAGACCATGAAGGGTATTGGTTTGGAATTAAGGTTTTTCAACCATAGCTATCTTCATTCAACAACTTGATTTAAGCTTCACAAGTCAGCTTTTCTACCTTTCACTTTCATGAAAACACCCTTTCAGTGAGGATATCCCTACCAGAAGTTGTAGACATTCAGTCGTATGAGAGCATTTAGAGAATAAGTTTCCAAAAGCAACAAAATAACTTACCTCTACGTGATCCAACCTGAGTCCAACCACCAGCGTTACCAGAGTCATCTTCATATAGAAGCGAATCAAATTCAGAAGGAACAGCTAAAAAAAGCGAAGATTTCAGTAGCGAAAGATGACGATACTATATATATATACAGAATAATGATTTAACTTACTTCTTCGTGGACCGCTTCGACTCCAAGTATCTTTGGAAGGATCACTACGGAGAGTTGGTGTATTATCGAAACCAACTATATATGTATATATAAATAAAATGAAAAAATTTTGTAAAAAAGGGATTCTTCGCACATAAATAAAATGTTTGTTTTTATTAGGAAAAAAATATTATTTGATTTACCTCGTTTACTTCCCGATGACCGACCAAAATCTGAATATCTTGACGTATCATCACGTCGAAAGTCTAAAGTGAAATTAAAAACGATAGTTTGTAAATTTGTGTTAGTTTCAGGATAAAGAGGTGTTGTATATTCCATAAGCACCAGGAAGCACGAACGAACAAGCATACAACTCATGCGTATATATACAGTACAAAAATGATTTTGGAAACACAACAAAATAACGTACTAAAAGTGGAGACGAACTAATGACATTTATGGTCCTTCCAATTGGGAAATACAAACTGAAGGTGAAAATGGGTGCTTTTTGATCGAAAATGAGAAATTCAAATTTCCAAAATGAAATTACAAGAATGAGACGTTTACCATGTGATTATTGGTGATCTAGCATCCTCCAACAAACCATACTAACAGTTTTTAGTTATTCTAAACATCATAAGTTATACTACTATTATTTCAACCGTTTTAGGTTGTACACCTTGTTACTTATTTTTATTTCACTCTGTCAATGCATATTTGTATCAGAAGGGGTTTGTGGAGATTTTTTAGAAATTTTCACAGATTGAAATCATGAGTCAGTTGAAGCTAGACCACCATTGAAAACCTGGAAGCACTGGACGGCCGTCTCGTCCTAGTATGGGACTCCTCAGCAGTGCGCATCCACAATCCCGCACCACGCGGGGCTCGAACCCAGGACCTACTGGCTTCGCGCGCGAGCACTTAACCATTAGACCACTGAGCCGGCATCCAACGGTGTTAATGTCTAACTTCAACCAATCCACGAAGTTGCGCCACCATAATATACCATTGTCTTCCGTGAGCTGATATCTCACAACAGACCTGGTTGTACTCCACTGGTAACGGCTTCTCACTAGAACTCCAGGAGTATCTCTTGAAGTCAGTCACTAGTGAGCAGATGATTATTATCAGAAGGGGTTTGTGGAGATTTTTTTAGAAATTCTCACAGAAACGGCCGTCCAGTGCTTCCAGGTTTTCAATGGTGGTCTAGCTTCAACTGACTCATGATTTCAATCTGTGAAAATGCATATTTGTATCAAAAGTTGAGTTGGTTATATAACCAATCAAGAATTAGTAATACGGTCTGGCGACAACAAACAGATGATAAATATGAAATAACTATGTTTCACGTTCAAACACTCGAAAAACTAAACTGAGCACATTAGATCCATATATGATACTAGATAGTTGAGACAAAAGATTAGATCATATGATGAACAAATCCTACCAACAATAAAAAACGAAGTTTTATAGATCAGAATAACTAATTATTGACATGAGTTATAAGCAATCATATAAAGTAAAATCCAGAGTCGTGTATATAACATTCACTTATATTCCTATACCCGAATATAAGGTCACATTGTCGTTGCATTACTAACTCACTATGACTTGTATTTAGTGACAATTACTCCGCTCATAAATCTTAGTAACTACAACTGACTAACTAAAAATGCATTTTTACTTATATTAAAGCCATTACAGGTAAGTAAAGTCCCATTACAAAACTGAACGTTCCTCTCTCTCTCTCTAGTCAATGAATGGGAGGGGGTAGGAAACAAAAAGGCAGAAATAATTTTGCTCGTTGTAAATAAGTTTGAGTTGCACGGATGCATTAAATTCTTATAATCCAATAAACTTTAAAAAAAAACTTACCACGGAATGCGTTACCAGAAGCACTACTAATTTCAGATTGACGATGTCGAGCAAAAGGATTAACCGATACAGGTTCATCTGAATATTGTTGATTTTTTATTTTTCAAACAAAAAAAGAAATTATTAATTAGCCAGTGAGCGAATATTGAAAATGAAGAAAAAAACCCAACAGTTATAAATTCACATACATGTATTGATATCAGCTTCAGATTTCTCAGTAGATAATTGTTCACTTGTCATAGTAACTAAATTTTGGGTATGAATTTTGAAAGATGCATGTTTTACGTACAGATATGAATGGTAAAAAATAGGTAGAATAACAATTGATTTAAGAATTATTTCTTTTCATTCACAGGCATATAATTTTAATTCTATGGCTCTAAACATAACGGTCTATTAGAATGAAAAGTATTCCATCTGAATTAAGATTTCTGTAACCAGAGCTGAGCTATGTTGGTAGGTGTAGACTATCTGGTTGGGGTCCGCGAGATGATAGCAACCGATGGTTAGAGACCTTGAATGACATGGCCCAAAATTGTTTGCAATGGCGCAGGTGCATCAACTCTTTGTGTTCTCCTGAATTCTTCATGTCCCTGTTTTCCTCTTTCCAAATTGATTTCACTGGATTATACTCATTGAATAACATTTTCAAACCCTAATCTTTCCGATTACTGCTTATACTCTTATTACCTCTACCACCATGGGATTTGAATTGACAACTGCACCTCTATGCTAAGGTGGTATGGCAACGCGAACTGATGTACGTACGTACGAAGTTCTACGTTGTTAATGACTGACTTATATAAACAGAATATAGGTGACAATGCCAAGGCTGAACATGATAAAGTCAATAAACAGTTTTTAATAGAAAAAAATATTCAATAATTAAAATTTTGTGGTGTCCTATTCAGTGGAAATTCGGATTTTTGACGTTTGATGATGACTTAATGTAAGTCACTTCTTCAGGGTAAATAATAAAATAATAATAATGTAAACTTGTGTTGATTCAATCCGATCATTTGTTTACGCTGAAGAAGACGACTAACATTAAATTATGAAACGTCAGAAATCTAACTTTCGACTCATTGGGATATAACAAGAATAATGACTGTTCTAATTCATGGGTTTATTGTTTCTGCAAAAGGTTCTGATTTAATGAAGATATATATATATATCTACAACGTAGGACCAAGCACATATGCATCGGCCTAAGTTGCCATACCTCATTAGCCATGTACCTATGAACTGCCGGGTCGCGATCCGTGCCAATCGGTGATTGGAGACGGGCGAGATAGTTTGAATCAGTCACAATAGTCTATGCGCATTCACCATTCCTCTTTCCCAACTTACTTACTACTGTAAACATAGGCCGTCCACTAGTATTCTTTTTCCTTAGAACTTATAAACTTTATTTAAATAAACCACTTTTTTCTATGTATAATTTTTTTAATACTAACACTTGCACTACATTGACAATTTTTTTGATTTTATCTCTCTGTGATGATATAGTGTGGCATCTTGAACTGATCCACATATGTTCCACCTCATACATTGATGATAACTGATATTTTGAAGCACAGGTTAGGTACGGCTTATTGTAAGTGTTTTGTGTAATCAATTTTTGTATGGAATTTTCTAATGGACCAACTGGTGGTTGATTAAACAACATTCATGAATATGTAAAGCATTCAACTCTTTTTTAGGAGATGATTATTTTGTGCATGCCAGTAAACTCATAATTTAATCAATGGTTTAATGAATATTTTGCATAATCATCTAGGAAATATATATGAGATGGTGGAGAAGATTTGTAGATCAGGTGGGTGATTTTGATGGAGTTTTGTTCTCTGAGCTGGATGGTTTGGTCGTGGAGCTTTCATCGTTCTCCATATGCATATGGAGAAATTCAAATACTTGACTTCTATTTGAAGTTTGTGCTGATGATGTCGTTCACAAGAACGATAAAAACTCCACGACCAAACCATCCAGCTCAGAGAACAAAACTCCATCAGAAAATAAATATATATCCTAAACATATCATATATTTAGTCTATAAATCTAGAGTATTCAGAGTAATTCATTAAATTATTTTTAATACGCTTTGAACTTATCATTTACAAACTGAAAACAACAAAGATATGAGTCGATTAACTTGAAGTTATATCTCTTTCTTGGTCAGAGAAGATTTACTAAACTTTTGATAAGTCTTACTGATAGATTTTATGTTAAAAGTAGATATTTTTTTACAACTTGAAGACAGAATGCATTTTAAGGAAATTGATATCAGCTATGAAGTCGTTGTCAACCGGAAAGTTATAGATAACTATTGGAAAATAATTTGTTCAAAGGTTCAGTTTTTTAACTAATTGGTTTTACCGTTCTATGTCAATTTTCTAGGTGTACACATACTTAGATAAGAAAATTAAATTAAAATGAAAATGTAGTTCAGCATGATTTTTCATAAGTTTTCATTGCTTCTTATCAATCAGTCAGCTACAACGTAGAACCGGGCACATATATGCATCCATCCAAGTTGCCACACCTTATTAACACAACAAGATGAACACCAAATTCATAGTAGTTAATTCAATGGTAGTGATATATAAAAGAACGATTGCATATAAAGATCTAATACAAGAAACAAAAACTAGTTCGTAGAAACAAAGGCATAAAGCAATTTCAATCTTATGGTTTAAGGAAAGAGTGTACGCATCTACGCCATTGTGATTGATTCTGAGTCATGTCACTCATTCTTCAACCATTGGTTACGCTAGTCACACGGACCCCAACCAAGTAGTCTGCATCTATCAACGTGACTCAGACCAGGAGTTAGTGACTTTGTGGACTGATTCCATGTCTTGGTTTGGCCGCCCCTAACATTTTACCATCCATCCCCGACATTAGTCAGCATTGCGCGCCGTGGTAATCGATGTTCAGGCATGCGTGATACATGACCAAGCCGTGTTAGGCGATATAGGTCCTCAACCCCACAAACTGATTTCTTATAAGTGAGGAAGACATTAATTTCTTGAAAAAAGTTGTTATTTAAAATACAGTGAATGACAAGTTGAAGTGTTTTTTCTTTGATATTTCCCAAATGAATACATGGCGTAATTATATTTCGTATTGATATGTTACTTGACTTAGAAAGTTACACATTAGATTTTACCTTTATTGAATTTAATAGTTTCTCATATAAAGAATATCAGCAAGTCAGCAAAGAATAAAATAAAAGCATAACTCGAAATAAATACAAACCTCTTTTAATATCTCCACGTTTCCATGCCTTGGACTCTTCCTCAATTCGAGCAGCCTCACGTTCTGCCGCTTCTTTAGCTTCTATAATATATCCATGAAAGAAGTAGGAGGAAAGAAAAACAGTGCAAAAATAATAAAAGACTACTTATCAATCGGAAAATGTTTTGACTAATTTATTCTGGTTAGTGTTTTTCTGGTAAGGTTTTTTTCTACGGGATACGGTTTCTGACCCCATGCCCAACTCTCCTTTATCCGGACTTGAAACCGGCAGTAACCCTAGAAGGGCTACAGGTGTAAGTAGTCAGTAAAATTAACAATTATTATCATCAATGGATAATGTTTATTTTGTTAACTGAATATTATATATTAGTCTAGTCCATCACTTCGACTTACGCTCCATAAGACGTAATATGGGTAAGTAATTAATTACCCTATCATCTAAAAACTTGATAAGATTAAAGTGAAACTGTTAATGTTGATCAGGTGTGATGTAGTGTCTATGTCGTTAACAGGAATATATCAATTACAGTGAATATAATATGGACTAGATATTGAGATAAAACCGTTCTAAAATATACTGTAAAATTAAATAGATAGAACCTATTGGTTAATTCTATTATAGACAAATGAAATACCAGGATTTATTAAAAGTTGAGAATGATAAATTCTGTGCCTTTACGATACTGGACGTTGTGAACAAACAACAATATATTACTTATAAACAAAGTTGACAAAGGGAAACGGGAAAGAAGGCCAAAGAACGCATTGCGTTGAGAATTGGAAGCAGACATCAAAAGGATTGTCTAGGACAGAGTTCGATGGAGAATGCTGGTGGGCAACCTATGTTCCTCCACGAGGGGTAGCAGGCGTAAGTAAACAAAATTGATGGGTGATTAAGTTAGAATAAAATCAAAATATTAAACAGTTAAAGAACACTAACTTTAGTGGTAAAGAAATAAGAGATAAGTGAACAATACAAAATAGGTGAAGTGAATAGAATGAAGGATAACAGTCAGTGTTATCATTGAACCATTATCAGAAAAATTATTTTTCAAACTAATAATTAAGATATGTATCTGTGAATTTGTAAGGGCATCTACCTCTTAATATTCAGTATTCGTGTAATATTTAGAGTTTCTTTTTCATTCATTGAGTATGTGGATGCTATAGAAGAGGGTAATTTTCACTAATGATTCCATAACTTTCACTTTATTTGCTTTTTTTGATCCGGTAAGTCAAAATACACTACAGAGTAGTGTATTTACTGAAGACATATGCAAATAGATTTCAATGAATCAAATTAAGTCCCAAATGAGAATTGCACTGTAGCATTGAGACAATAAACAAGCGGAGTACTTGAAAATGGCTGGCATAGCAATTTTACTGAATAATGGAAACGAACGGTTATCCTCATATACGAATGATCAACGAATTGAATTTGATCCTGACATGAAAGATTGAATGTGAAAATGTTGGGGACGTTAGATCCCCAGAACTCAGTTGGAAAAGGACCTAATTTTGTAATTTTATTTAGAAAATTTGAATTTCTTTGTTTACGCGCGAAAAGCGCTCTTTTCACATTCATGTCGCATTTCCCACTTGGGAGAATCTTAAACACTATTGGTCCGTTGTGTCTTTTGTAACGCTTCCCAAGGACGTTTTTATTCTGTATATATACGTCTTGATTTGTGTCTGTTGTGATCGCTCGTTTCTGGCAGTTTGCGGAATATACTTCCCCATTCGAACTTCTCTCTCTAGTAAGCGGGTATGGGACGCAACAGAATAACTATTTATTGGTCTTTGGTCACAAGTCTTTGTTTTGTTCGCAGACTAAGTGAACTCATAACCGCTTCAAACCTAGCAGAAACAATTTTAGAAGCCTGATACGATTCACTTTGAATTTGGAGAGAATACACCTACACAAACCTGTAATCATGTAGCGATTTCGCGTAAGAATTTTGTACAAGCATATACAAATATGTTTTAAGGCTGAACACTCATTCATTTAACAAATAAGCGTGCCACCTTAAACTTATTAATTATTTTATACTCATTCACATGACTAATTATAAGTTTTTATTTATGTATAATTTTAATGTGTAACTATTTATATGTCATTGACGATTTGGACAAAACAAACTCACCCAATTCACCACTCATGGTAACATTAAACAACACACATTATACAATGTAATCTGCACATTAATAAATGGAAACTCATATTTTCTTTGCCCCCAAGTTTGGTCCGTTGATTAGGGCTTTATGTTTTGCCTTTTGTTTTAACTCTGATAGGAATAATCATGGTAGAAGCGTTTGGGTCTACTAGTGATACAAATTCACTCGGGACCTCAGTTATATCTAGTTAAAGTCTAAGAACATAGAATACAACATTTGGTATTTTTAAACAAAATCTAAGAAAAATGAAATACCTTGTTCTCGTTTCTGACGTTCAGCTTCTGCAGCTAGTTCACGTTGTTTCTGTTCTTCACGTTCAAGTGCTTCTTGTGCAGCTCGACGACGTGCCTCAGCTTCTAATTCAGCCTCATGTTTAGCTCTTCTTTCAGCCAATCTTTCCGATCGTTTTTGGTCACACAGAGCCTCCCATTCTGCCAATTTAGCTCTATACCGATTATCACGAGCTTCTTTTAATTGACCAACAAGACGCTACAATTGTACATAGTAAACAAAAATGTCTGAACTATCACTGGAGCATCAGAGTGATATAAATCTGATGATCGAGAAATCTTAAACGAGTTCATATCACATTGTGCTTTATGGAACTAGAACTACGGTGGAAAATAGTTCCAAATGTTTGATGCTATCATTAAATTAGTGATGAAAAAGTGTGGCAAGTTCTATGATTTATTAATGCCCAGTACAACGTGGATTTATTTTCAAAGAATTTGAAATTATACAAAATGTTTGATCTTCAGAAAGAATTTTTCGATCAGTCGTATACCTTAATTACACTCTGTAGTAGTATTTGATAGATAAACGATATTCGTTTGAGATACTTCATAAGGTTTAACGAAGACAGTAAACACAACGAAAGCACCCAACTATAATGTATTTACGACATTTTGGTAGTATTGGTGATGAGTAAAGTTCAGAACCCTCGAAACCAAGTATGCCACTTATGATTTATTTCATGAAACTTTTGTAAAATGTTGCTCTATCACACTGAAGTTTCCTACAGTCAGTCGGTTAGTATTAATGTAGAGCTGGGCACAAATTTGTGGTAGCTTAAATTATCCAATCGCATCAGCACAACAAGACAAATACCAAGGGAGTCGAAATGATATCAATGCGAATACTTATTGAGCAATTGACTCCAAAAGTGTAAGGACCAAGAATATGGCTTGCGAAGACAATGGAAAGATATATATGAAGGGAAGCAGGAATTCAAGATAAAAAGTACGTACACTTGGGCCATCATAACTGGTCTTGAGCCATGTTAACTACAGCCTCAAACTATTGATCTCGATAATTGTACGTACTTCAACCACGTAGTCTAAACATACCTACATGGTTTAGTTTAATTACCAATGACTTTATGGGGTGATACGACGTTTTGCTTTGGACACGCCTAGCTCTTTTAATCTACTAATACACCAGCAAACATCGGGGTTCGATGTCGGTGATCGTTTGACGTACGCGAAACATGTTCCGACCGTATTCTCAATTTATGAAGGTCCACTGATTTACCAAAGAATATACCGTCACTTATTACTTTACGTCTACCTTCGGAATAGCTCACTCTGTCAGAGACCGATGATCAAACATTGGTAACCTACAAATATCCTGTTGTTGAATGCCATGTTTTACAACCATAAAGGATAACAGAACTCATTCTTTCTTGGCTTCTTGTTTCCCGATTGTCGAAGACTATTGTAAAACATTTACCAAATACGACGTTACACAGCTTTCAACCAAACTCCTTAGGTGAGCGGTACTAACTAGCTGACTGAACCGAGCAAAATATGTGAATCGGGTTTTAAACCTTGGATATATTGTTCTAAGCTAGAGATTAAAAACAAGACAATTTGAATTAACCTTCACAACTAAAAGTAAGCTAACAAGACAGTTTAAAGATGTGTTTTGAAATATATAAGCTTTTCATTAGACCATAAGTTGCCTCAATTGTGAAAATCTGTTACAAGGAGCATCAACAGGTAACAATTTGTAAGGCAGTCAGTCAACCAAATAGTGAATTTTTATTTTGAACATCCGACTTAAAAAAGAATGATTGTTTATTTAAATGGTATTAAAAACTAATTAACAGGAGCAATTTATTTATCGTAAACTTTCAAGAATTCACTCGTTAAAAGATTTCGGGGACACGTACTACAACCAAACATTATCACTCAAGATAAAACTGTCAGTAGATTAGATATTTCACTTTTCCTAGCACTATGAAATGATTTATGAGTTAGCATTTACAATACTAGAGTGATTGCTTAGTATTTTAGGGCTTTCCACTTTCAGCTATTAAGTCATAGATTTAAACGTTGTTCTATCTACTTCAGTTTCGGCAACCGGGCAAGTATTACTAGCACTAAGACTTGAAGTGTGGCCCAAAGTCAAGGATACACATCTGTACTTGCAAAATAAGTTAAAACAACAGCTATGAACAAGTTACCTACGAAGTTTGAAAACAGAAAAAAACATGCAAAAAAACGAATACCTGGACATCTGATTTCATTCGAATCAATCGATTACGTTCTTTCAATTGTCGTGCATGCTCGGCTTTCGAATGCTCCTCAATTTCTCTGACACTCTGCTCAAATAATTCACGAGATTCAATAGCTTCCGGCTCAATATTTGCCTGTAACAATGGGATTTCTTCAATTCGACAAGCACGTGTATAATAGTCCAATTTTTTCGCCATTGTTTTAGCCTTCTCCGCTAGTTCTTTTCGCTTTTTCTTCACCTCTTGTTTCTGAACAACGAGAAACAAACAGAATGATTAAAACTAAAGTAGGAAAATAATAATTATCTTGACCATAGACAAACGCCAAACAATAAAATTACTACTATTTATTAAAGGTATATTCATTGTTGGACTAAGTCATATTGTTATAATTCTCTCTTATTGCAAACCAAGCTATTCCTATTGCTTTGTATTCTCGGACACCAATTCACTCGACAAGCCCTCAAATCAGAACACGGTTGAACAGGAGAGCGATTATATTCCAAATAACAAGGTTAGCTGGAAGTAAGAAGCATAGTAGGAAAAACGCTAGGATATTTATAGCTTTTTACAGAAGATTCGAGAGAGTACTCTGAATATCGACTAGCGCTGATTAAATAACAATTAGCCAATCAGTGTGCATCAACACAATTGTACATTGAGCATGCTTTAATCCAATTTGTGTCCCACTAACACATGTAGATGGGTGCAGACAACTCGGTTGAGGTCCGTGTGATTATTGTAATCAAAGATTAAAGGCTTTCGCTGACATGGGTCTAAATGGTTTCCGATTTTTTGTCTCCCTCTCAAATCCTGAGATTATAAATCCCTCATGTTTTTTTCCTTTCCGAATCGAATCTTCGATGCCTGATTTTTTTCGCTACCGTTACTATGTCTACTACTCTGAGATTTAGTAATGGGGTATGGCAACTTAAGCCGATGTGCACATGTGCCAGGTTCTACGTTGATTATGACCGAATGTCTTATGTATTCAAAAATAAGACAATGGAAAAAATGTAAGACATTTGTTGCTAAGGTGATCATGGGATAACTCAAATTTTGTTAATAATCTTAAAGTCTTACGGATAACGGTAACCGCGAATGCTTTCTTCTTAACTCAATTTATTACATGACCTTTGCCCATTTCTGATTAGTTGTCACTACTTTTCTGTATGCCTCAAAGTCACGTTTTCGTTACTATATATGCTAAGATGTGCTCAAATATCTAGTTTTTCTTACACTCCATCTTGCAGTAGCAGCGGATAATTATTAAAATGTTGCATGTAAGATGTATAATTTACTAAAGTTCATATTTGTCTCATTCATATTAGAAAACCAACAATTGTTCATCAACAACATTTGCCGTCAATCCAATACATAATCGTTTATAATCAGGAAATAACACTTGTAATAAAAAACTAAACACAAAAACATTCCATTTCGTGATACCAAAAGTGCTGAACGTAACTGAAATCAACAATTAGAGGAGGCGAAGAGAGATTAAGCTTTTTTAATTCGAATTTTGATAAACTTCCGTTGATTAGAAATTTAGGCTCTGAAGAAAGACAAATATATATAGGCACCTGCACCATTGTGAATGATTTTGAGCCACATCACCGAATGTCTCTAACCACAGATTCTGATTATCACGTGGACTCTAACAAGGTAGACTGAACCTACCCACAAGGCTCAGTTTAATAGTCAGTGTCTTCATGGACTAATGATATGTTTTAATTTGGTCACGTCTAGCTCTCTCCCGACCTATAAATATACCAACAAACCGAGCGTCTAGATAGTCAGTAGATAAGCATACATATTACATTATTTCAGTTGATCAAAACTCATTTTTTGCTTAATCGATTAGTCTCACTTATAATCCAACATTGACTGAGTATAAAACCATTGTAACCCCCTAAAAATAATTGATTTAATAACAACTCGAATTCCGAGAGTAAACAAGGGTGTATTGATTTTTCCAGGAAATAATTTTACCAGTCTAGTGGTCAATACTTTAAGAGCATTTTCCGGGAATTTTGCAAAACGACAAACACATGTAACACATAAAAGGTTAATTTATAAATGAATAATACTGAGAATAACATACTTGCTTGTTAATAAGTTTATCTGCATCAAAGTTTTCAAGCTGTTCTTCTGTTAACTCTTTTAAATCAAGTTTTGTATCAATTTTTAAATCTAAGAACATTTTCAAACTAGTACGTGCCATTCGTAATTTTAGACGAGCTTTCTCATCTTCCGTCTTCATTCGTTCACGTTGTATAGCTTCATTGGCCAAATTGGTTTCTTCCGCTTTCAATAGACGCTCTTGTTCCGCTTGACGTCTTGCTTCAACAATGCTGTAATACTAGAGTGGCAAACAAAAATAAAGAACATTCAAGTATTTTTACTATTTTAGTGAAGATAAACTACAAACGACCATCTTTTTTATTTAGTAAAAACAAATTACCTGATCTCGTTTACCCTGATACGTCTCAATCTCTTCCTTTCGGGCTTCAATTAAACAACGTCGATTAAGCAATTCACTGCGTAAGACTTTTTCATTTTTCCGGTAATCTTGAACAAGTGCACGTCGACAATTAGCTAAAGACTGACCAACTTCCAGAATATCAGTTATCTGTTGCATCACTTGAGCAAACATTGTTAGTTGACGAGACAATTTGTCTGGGTCATTTACATGGGTTGACTAAAAAAATTAAAAATAAAGTTACATTATCAAAAACACTTTTACATACGAAAACGCTAAAAATTTAAATTGACGTATACCAGATACTTTCAACTCTCGACAGTGCAAAAGTAGTTTGTAGCATTCACTAAACAATATGCGATGTCGGAAACATAAGTCTACAATGGCTAGTGAAACAAAAAAGACTTTAATGTTGGGTACCCAGTAGGAAACCTTGGATCTAGGCTTCGTGCTAATTGGTACTCACCAGCAAGGTGCACCTAGAACCTTAGGGGAACTGGAGATCCCTCGTGAATTCAAATCCTCGTCACCTAGCTTCATAGTCTGAGATATTACCAACAAGATATTCGAATCACAAATGACCTATAGGACTGAGATACCTGTAAGTGATTGGTCAATGGCTAATCAGTTGTAATAGTGGGGACATCTAACATCATGAATAAACCATATTATCTGGAGTTTAAAAGATGAGAAGAAAATTAGCAACTGAGAACCATAGATGCAACTCGTTTGATATTTACATAAGGGTTAGGTGATACTACTAACCTATCCAAAATAACGTAGGTAGCGAAAAGTTATGAACATGAAGCTTACTAGTCAGTCTGCCATACATAACCGAGGATCTGGCACATATGTGGGTTGGTTCAAGTTGTCACATATTAACACAACAAGGTGAAAAAACCAATAAGACTCCCAGAATAGTAAGTAAGATTATGCATAGGTAAAATGATTCAGAAAGAAATAATAAATTCGCGGAATGAAAGAAGTAAAGGTATTTGAAAACAAACATTGAATACATCCGAGCTTTTACGGCCGATCATGTGCTATGTAACACAACGTATTCAATCATTAGTTACGACAATAGCGCGGACTCCAACCATGCAGTCTGAATCTACTAACACGTTTCAGTCAGATTATCAATGACTTCATCGACTGATGCTAAATACTAGTTTACCCGCCCGTAATCTACTGCTTGAAAAAGAAGTATCTCGATCAGTAAGTTACAACGTATGTGATATGATTTTAGATAAATATTCGTGGTGTAAACATTTATCAACACTTAAACAGTGAATCTTGTACTAGTTGAGTTTTTCGTTCTTCATTATTTTTGTTTCTTGTATTTCGTTATTTTTAAACAGTAACAAATTCAGATAATGCATGATTTGGTCCGAATTCGAAAGTTGTTGGGATTACCATTCTTCCAAAAAGCTATGTAGATGGATTAGGGGCCCTATCAATTTTGATTACTTAGACATTAAGAAACTTTTGCACGAATACATAAAAACTTATTGGTTTTTACCAACTTTGACAACCTGAGATAAAGAGAAACATATCTATCCGTTAAAAAGGAAGTATTCCCGTAAAACAGTTTGCTTTTGTATTATTTTATAAATGCCGAGGGTCTTCGAAGGGTAGGTAACTTGGTTAGGTTTCTAGTGTTTGATCATGGATATTTTTAAGCATAATACTTGCGACCAATGAACTCAGTAAGTCATGCTAACCTTAGACACAGAGTACTGAGCAGGAATAAAAATTGATTATTGGCTCAATAGACTACTATCGATTAAAACTGTTTAGATATAAATTCTACAAAGGCCAGGAGTAAAGTGGTCTCAGTTCATAGAATTACTGCTTCCTGAACGTTATCAAGAAATATAAGCTTTCTTGTTGGGGAATGAGGAGAAATTGCAACCTATCTCTGAAGAACTCAAATGATATGGCTTGAAATTAAACACAATGCACCGATACGTTTTTCGGTTTTTCTTTAGACTCAATTTTTTTCACTGCATAGGACGTGTAATCTCGTATATTTGGTGTAAATTATATTTTGTAAGTAGACGACTTTTGTTAGTATCAAGGACCAATGGATAGTGGTTTTGTTTATGCTTTTATTTGTTAGATAACATCTAAATTTCTATACAAGAGTCTACAGAAATAACATATTATACTCCTAGATAACGTGAGTGGTCAAAGAATATTCGCGTAAAACAATGAGAATCGATAGAATGGAACGAGACGTTAGAAATTAATTAGTTTTTAAACTTGTTGAAGTTCATGTTATATACGTTAAGCAAATAGACGGAACAAGATTAAAACTTGCGTTGTACAAATCAATCTGTACATACACATAAACTCATACCAGTCATTCAGATGAACTTTTTACAAAATATTAAGGAACTGGTAGCATAATATACCTGTGATACTAACTGTCCACCATATTCACATTGACTTATTCCAAGATCTGTAAATTTATCAAAGAAAATCGCTTGTTGTAAATGATTGACTCGAATAGGCAGTTCCAAATTATGAATCAACTCAATTACAATCCTTTCAAGTCGAATAGGCTCCATGAATGGACATAGTTTGAAAAATTCGTTGAAATCCAAGCTTTGATAGACTTGAGATAATTGTAGAAGTGTTTTTGCTACGATAACATCATGCAGTTGCGTAATGTACACTTGGAGATCTGAACAGGTGGTAATATGGGCAAGTGCTGGTTGAACAAGTTCCCAAAGTTTCAAAGGTTGAAAATCCGCTTCTAGAACTTGGTACAACTTAGCTAAATTTGATGGGACAACGGTGTGCACTTTATGACGAACCAGATCACGTATTAAACTTTGACGAGTTGGCACTTGAATGAGACCTAGAATTCAGTGAAATGTTACGAATGATTATTGGAAATAAATTACCCAAAAGTCCAGCAAGTGTTTTCTGCTTCATAATAGTGTACTCGCCAGATAAGAATTTGTCAGCATTCAGTTTCGCATTTGGTAAAGGAATGGAAACAGTTGCACAAAGTACACGAGATCCAAGATCAGATAGTTCTTCACGAGTTAAATTCTTTTTCTGATCACGATATAACGTGTAAAGTTTGTGTAAAGCAGCAGCGTGATATAAATGGCAACCGCATCGTCGAAAAAGTTCCGCTGTTTTTGAGTAGTAATTGGTCATTAATGAAGGCATAGCGTGTATTCGTGAAATCATCATAAAACTCCAAATATCTTCAACAGTTTTAAAAGCTTCGTTATACATATCTAGTTCCATAGCACAATCCAACTGTCGTAATCTAGTCTCTAAGTGTAATGTCTGTGTTTCGGCATTATTCAAATTTATAGCATTAGGTGCATTAGGTTGTAACTGATTCTGGACTTTTTGAGTATGTTGTCGAATCTTTTATAAGTATGAAGAAAATAATGTGATGGTTAAATGAAGAATTAACATACCAGTTCACACAGCTTTTTGAATTCCGTCTTCCGACCATACTTCAAGCAGAAGTTATAAGCTGTAAAGTGTACGAAAAAGTGGTTATTAATGTCCAAGACTTACCATCATGAGCTACTTCATGATACAGCTTTTCTAACTTCGAATTGCTACGTAACAAATCCAGCACCAAACGATAGGAATCCCAGAGAAATTTTAACCATGGCATCAGAATCGTTCTAGCAGATCGGTCTTGAGTACCCTCCATACTAACTGCATTTAACATGATACTATACAATGGAAAGAATAAGAAACAAGCACTTAAATCCACACGTAGAAAACGCAAGCAAAACTTAATTCTTTCATAAATTTAGTCTTTGACTAGTAATGAAAACTAAAAACGATACATTATTCTGTTTCTGATCACTGATTTATATGGCAATACGCAAGTCCATATTGTCTCCTGATCATTTTTGTCAGCTGTTTCAGTAGTAATAACAATTATTACCAACTTATAACTAGGTATAGGTTCGTACACGGCTCCAAGCCGTACTAAATGTGAGGGATAGTGATGCTACCTTGTCATTCAAATCTAAGGTGGAGCAGGGTTCGGGCTAATGTGGTGTGGCAACTCGAACTGATGTACGTACGTACGAAGTTCTACGTTGTTACTGACTGACTGACTGAGGGTTCGGGCCTGTGACCCCTGAGCCACCTATCAAGTATCTAATTTAAGTTGTCCGCTTTTTAGCCACAGTACCTGTGAGGATTAGTGATAATAGATAGTCTCGCAGGCCAAAGCAAATGTAACTGGCTTCAAAAATGTAACCAGTTGATTATAAGCTGAGTGCTTCTAGTTACTAAACCACCGCTGATTCATTTTCTGTCATTGACTTTAAGGTCACAGCCTGTTTGGATTTTACCCATACCTCAGGTAGGTTGGTCATATGAGTGTTGGTAGCAACCAACCAATTCTCAGTGTATGTTCGGAATATGACCTGCTCCACTACTACAAGAGCTCGAGGTCCAAAACAACTATATGAAAATCATTAAGTGATTTCTTCAAAGATTGAATGCAATGAAAATGCCCGAAGATATTTATGTTGTCTATTACTAACAACCATGTCTTACAGTCCTTAGGTAAAAAGGAGTACCAACACATACTACAAATATATTGCATGATAATGAAACTCGAAAACACATAAGGAAGGGCTAAATGCACACAACCTACAAACCTTTCTGGAGTTTCCAGGACATCCAAATCCTCAATTTCCATGATAGCACTCTTTGACACTTCTTGAGCTTCTTCAGTTTTACCCTTTATCTGGTTCAGGTAATAACGAATAACTTGCTCGAGTGAAATAGTGTTTTCCTAATAGATATTAGCGGAATAAAAATATTAAGGATGGAAAAGAGATTACCATAACACTCATATTTTTGTACGTATAAATTGCTTTTCTGAAGTGAATGTTCTTACGGAGTTCTACACAAAGTTCAACAAACAGCATCATTAATTCTTCTAAGACCTTTTGCCATTGTTTAGTTCGTCTAACTCGCATCACTTCATACAAAATTTCCAAAGCGTTAGACTTTTTGTCACATTTTATAAGTTCTATTTAATAAAAAGGAGAAAATGTTAATTATATATATATAATGCATGTTAATTGAGAGGATGTTTGACAAATTAGCTCACGAAGCAAATGGAAACGGAAAACAGAATAATGTAAGTGCAATAACGCTTTTACGGACCAATTTGTTAAAGATAGAAATCACGTATGTACAACATGCAAAAGTATAATACTAATCTTAAAGTCTTTTGTATCACTGAAATTCGGAAATTTTTAAAATTGGTGACTGCTTCACTCGTAAAATGTATGAAAATGAGCATTTGTATGGCAGTCACGATGAGAAAAACCCAGAGTACCCAGGCATTTATTTATACCTTGAGCTTACGGGAAAAATATCAAAAGTTAGCACTAATTAAACAAGATTTTCTATTTTTGAGCGAAGATAGGTGCTATCACAGATCGACGTTAACAGATGACTTGACAGGTCGAGTTCCCTTAACAAACCAACGTAGGGGTGAATTTAACAGAACATGTAGTGTAATAGCACGAATAATAGTGAAATTCATGTTGATACGGTAAGACTAAATATATAGACGGCTTAAAATGGAGAAAACTGAAAAATTGGAATTTTCCAGTGGCACAGTGTAAAATCTCGAAATTGAAATCAAATTATATTAATGTAATTACGTCACTGTGTCCAAATTTGAGCCACCTTACCCACAGTCTCTAATCACTGATTATGACCATTGCAACAAGCAAGTAGTCGACACCTTACACAGCTTAATCCGATAATCGATGACTTTATAGAAAACTATCTTGTTTTGACTGCAATTAGCTTTGCTTTAACATACTTGTACCCCATCCATCATGTCTGAAGGTAGGTGGTTAAAATATTTTCAACATATCATAAACTACGTCACAGTCGAGTTTATAAACATGTACTTGACATACAAGTTACTCAACTTCGGCTATGGTCCAAACAATAAAAGATGCTGATCTTCCTTAATAACTTACATAGACAAGTGCAATAATTAATGTAGATCATTTTAACAATTAAATAGTCTTAGTTAAGCAGGAAATATAAACAGAAACTAGACACCTCCAGCACAGCAAACGCTGCTACAATCGCCTGTTGTAATTAGAATCACTATACATTCATACGAAGTCAACGTTATCCAAGACTGATTTACTTCTGAATATTTACGGATTTAGAACCAATAGAACTGGTTACAAAATATGAATAGCCACCTCATAGTGTTGAACTAAGGATAGCAGATTAGAAGTGACAACTTCAAGGGTGCGTCAGTTCGTGACGCTTTTATATGTACGTTAAGCTTATGCAGTGGTTATGAAACATCTCCAGATAATCATCATCATATGTTACAGACTAAGTAATGTCTCGAGAGAACTCACAGAAACTGTTTCCTCTCTAATCTTGCACATCACATTATTTTGGTATTTTACTATTTAGTTCTTTACAGCTATATTATGATTATAAAAAGAATAAGTGTTTGAGGTCACCACACAACTTGCAGCAGATAGTTAGAACTTGAGCACTAAGTTATACGTCTCTTAACCAACAAGATAAATAACTTTTGCAGCAGTGTCTGAGGACATAATGCTAAACAAATATAACGTAAAGCGTAAAAATGTGTATTACAATTGTGTGAACCACTGGGTTTAAATTTTTTTCCTAAGGATACTAAATATTCATTCGGGCTAGTAGTATGCAAAGCTAAAAAAATAACCAATGGGGCCCTAATAACTATGTCAAGAGCTTCACAAATTCTGAACACTCGTCAACAATTTGCCTCGAGTTTCGCAACATGTTTGCACGTCGGTGACACCGCTACGAGCAGGATGACATTTAACTGGTCTCAAAAAAAGCTCGTCATTTAATAAAGAATAAATAACGCTAACAATCTAAACGTTTTTTATGGTGCTAGTTTTTAAATATTCTCAACAAGCAAAATCCGTGATTAGTCACTGGTTTCGTATGCCTCGATGTCCCATATGAGAGAATACAGTTAACGTAATTGTTCAAACACCAAAAATGTAAATGCTCGACTTTAACTGGAAATCTATACAATCATTCATAGCTTTGTATAGCTAATGGTTGATTCCCAGAACTGGAAAGAAACCCACTGGGACATGACGCGTCGAACAATCTAATTTTTGCAAGGACGTTTACAACATACCTCTTGCTTTAGTCAACGCAGTTTCCGGCTTATGATACTGGCTTGGAGGCATTATCACATGAAGACACGCGAACACACAACGTTCAAGTAGAGCGGTACCCACGAATAACTAAAAGTAGCTTCAATCTTGAATCCTCGTTATACAATCCTAGCAGACTTATTGTTGTGATTCATTCTCAGCCTTCATTCAACTGATTTTTCTATCGTATAGTTAACACACAGTTTAAGATAAGGTTCTTCTGCTATGACAAATGTGCTTCTACAATAATGTTTGGAATCCAAAGGTTTTTGAGATGAAACATTCCACTAAAAGTAAATGTGGTATTTGAGTTTAGGCCACAGAATATATTTATTTGGTGCCAAAACATAAACTCTCTGACAGAGTAACTTTGCAGAAATATGTTCCCGCTACTTCACATATTCCAAAATATACAGTTTCAGTTTGCGAAAGGTCAATGGTGGGATGGCCTGTTATTCCTAATGATGGAGATATTCCAGCGGGCTCAAATTTTTTCGAAATCCATAGACAAGTTAGGCTTGAGCCGCATGTCGAGGTTAGGAGTTCCATTGGTTGACATTTCGATGGATAAGATGGAACTCGGTTAGCAGGTAACTTATTCCAGACATGCGAACGGTTGGGAGTATCCTTGTGAATTCTCTGTTCCAGAGGACGGCAGAAATTTACGACTGGGCAATTCTAAAACAGCGGAAGTGTCTTTTTTATTCTTTCTACATGACGTGGAGAATAGATTTATTTACCAAACCTCTCTCAACATATCTGTCTTTATTAAGAAGTGGATAGGTGAAGAAGTTTGAGTTTTGTTCGAACAGCCACTGTAAACAGGGTGGAAAATGTCATAACATCTACGCAGACCAAAGATCTACGCAGTGATTAAAGTCTACTTAAACATTCAGCAGCTGAAACATAGCAACAAATATTGGTTTACAAGTCTCAGTTGTCAGTGGACCTTAGATAAGTATATGTACTAACCACATGCATATTACGGGCATCAGTCGAACATGTATCTGTTCTTGAGCCACAAGCATGTATTATAATGCATTCGTGAGCAATAAGCAGTAACTGCCTAATTTCGAACATGTTATTTTGAGGCTGTGAAATATTCGTTCCCTACTGTGGTGTATGATGCATTTGTCGACAGACATACGTAACATGTAATACAAGTCAGAAGTGGAATGCCAGGCAACAGACAGTTAAGTGGATCGGTTTGAAGAGAATAGTAATGCAAACAGAGAGTAATTGTAAAAGCAATGAAGGAACGATAGAGTTTGAGACAATCGATGAAAGATTTGCAAATAAGTATTTATTGTGTAGTTTTTCATATTTTACGAAAGAACTATACAGTATCGGACTTAATAATTGAAGTGGTTTTCTCAATCTCAGATGTCGTTCACCACACTCTTATCTATATCTTGAGTATATGATAAGGCTGATCATGAAGAGACTAGAAAATTCATAAGGATATAAGAAGAATAAAATTGGCCATAAAACTGTACTCTATATCAATCAACAAGACATGGTTTTTGGGCTAGATAACTTAGAGTTAATCCGTACTCTTCGTTGGCATGTAACTAAGCAAAAATCATAACTTACTCCAACCGTGCCTAATGTAGACGGTGATTCGGTAGGATTTTATCAAAAGCCTTGCCGGAGTTAATAAATTTTATATGTATGGTTAACTTCTGACCCCTCAGAACACAGTGATAGCTTATTGAGATATCAATAACCTATTTTGTAGCCATTCTGCTCTTCAGAGACAATCTAACCTTTCCCAAACACTAAAATAACGTTTTGGAGAATGATCTTGCCCAGTATCTTTACAACATGTGCAATTTTAGCTCTCATGTACACGCGGCTACATGTTCTAAAAATAAAACTCGCTTTAATTATTGGTTAGTAATGAATGATATAGCTTAAGAGCCACTACCGTCCCATGAGTTTTACTACACTAAGGATATTTGTCCGATAAGAAATAATGAATTTTTGATCGTCGTAATATCTAGAGCAGAAGTATCAAGTATTATTTGTTCTTGAAAGTAAAGTGCCTATACCATACTTATGCTGCTAAAGTAGCCTAAGAATATTTGAGCTTGTCATAATCGTCTTACATTAATGGTGTGCCAGCACCATCTCCATGTAGTCCGATAAATTCCTTTTCTTCTTCACTCTGCGTTTCGTGCGAGAAGATTCAGAATGATTTTAAACAAACATTGCTTCAGACCCCTTTCTGGACTTGAGTAGATCTTTAGCACAAGCATTTTTAACCTTCCGATATTAAGACTTGGTCTCACCAGTGCCTAGTAACCTTACTCTTTCCAACATTACTTCCTTTGTACGGCAAGTGGTGTAGACGTTTCTACTGAAACATTGCGGAAATTCGTGGTTTTTAAGGGATCGTTCGTGGTATTTGTGGACAGGTAATGGTTGGTTAGTGCATTTACTATCAATGATAATTGTGAACTTGAGTCAGGCCTTGTCGTCTTTTTACTTCCCGTAATGTTGAACACATTGTGACAACTGACAAAATTTCATCATCTATCTAGTAATTTTATTCTTAAGTTCATTCAGTCATACATTTACGTTGTAGCGGTAAATAAATCCCCAAAATAAATAGCACTGTAAGTTTTCGACATTGGATGCTCACCATATGTTTTTGTGGACTCATCTAGCTGAAGGCGCTCGGTCATGCATCCGCACCAGATCACGTGTGGTAACGCCGTGCTCAACATCAACCGCAATCGCTAGCCAGATTAGATCAGAGAATTCCGATATATTGGTCATCGCCAAAGATACTCTTCCGATCTCCTCGACTCTGTCTTTTGATTTCTCTGGGTGGGAACGAAATACATTAGAAGGTGTTACTGGTATAAGCGTTGTCAAACACTGAATACCTGTGACATCATCAACGTGATCTATCCAGTCAGGATAGAATAACGTTCATTTGTTGTAACTGGTAATTTTTCCTCATCTTCTATCAACTTCTTTATTTATTGTAATTTAGATTTAATTGATTGAACAATCATTGGTTGAATAGCCGGGTGATAATATTTGTTTAGGTAATGATTTGCATTAAATTTATGATGAATTATAGAACCGCTATTTACCCGATTACTTGTTTTGATTTCGACGGGATAAGGCGCGTGTCTAAAGTCCCCGGTCGGCTATTCTTCAACATCCAAACCGTAGTTTGGATTTTACAGGAACATCAGCATCTATCAAATTTGCATCAGATGTTGATTCATTCAGCTTATTTTTACAAGGATTTCTATCAAAAATATGTGAATCATTGGGACAACTCATACTTGGTAAACCAACATGAGGAATTTATAAGGAATTTATTCATTAGAAGCTTTGTCTCACAGAGATTCTGAGTTGCATTTGATACAGTTGTAGATGAGCATTGGTTGCAATTGCATGACGCCATGAAAATGGCGGGTACAGTCAGTTGTGGGTTCGCGAAACGTCCCGCTTTTTAGCATTGGGTTTCTCCAGGTTCCTTACAACTCATTGAAGCCCGTCGGTCTACTCCGGGTGACCGTGACTTTGACCATAAACGAAGGATGTTATGTAAGGAAATTGGGCAAAGCTTGCGTAAGGACCGAGAAGCCTGGTGGTCGATGCGTGCTAATGAGCTGGAAGCAGCAGCTGCATCTGGTAACTACCGGAAGCTCTTCCAGCTCATCCGAGCCACTGGCAGCAAGAAGTCTGGTATGAGTGAAACAATCTGCGAGGATGATGGAATGCCAATCACTAACATCCATCGACGTCTTGGACGATGGGCAGAATTTTTCGAAGGGCAGTTCAACTGGCCTGCTGCTCCGGCAACATCGGTCAGACTGTCCTGCCCTCCATGGCCGGTGACGACTGATCCACCAAATGAGGAGGAAGTCCGCAAGGAACTCCAACTCTTGAAGCGTTACGAATCACCTGGTCCAGATGACTTACCTCCGGCTCTTTTTAAAGATGGTGGTGACTTTTTGACTAAGGAATTGACGACGTTGTTTACAAAGGTTTGGGAACTAGAGAGTGTACCAACGTCATGGAATGAGTCGATAGTTGTCCCTATCTTTAAAAAGGGTTCACGTCGTTCCTGTAACAACTATCGGGGGATAAGTTTACTTCCGATTGCGTCCAAGCTATTGGCTTCCGTCATTCTTCGTAGGTTGTTCAAAACCCGAGAAAGATTGACTCGCGAGGAGCAGGCTGAGTTTTGTTCTGGTCGAGGATGTATTGATCATATATTCACCCTCCGCCAAATGTTAGAACACCGCCATACTTTTCAAAGGCCAACAATCGTAGTGTTTCTTGACATCAGGGCTGCCTTCGATTCGTTGGACAGAACTGTTCTCTGGGATTGTCTATTGAAGATGGGTGTGCCTGAGAAGTTTATTAACATCCTAAAAGCCCTATACACAAACACCTCAGGCAGAGTGAGGGCATACAACCACCTCTCTCCATTGTTCCATTCGAGCAGTGGGGTTAGGCAGGGTAGCCCAATCTTACCATTCCTCTTCAACTTTGCCATCGATGACATTCTGGAAACAGCTCTGATGGGTGTAAGTAATGGTGGTGTGGATCTGTTGCCTGGAGAAAGACTTCTCGACCTTGAGTATGCGGACGATATTGTCTTACTGTGCGATAATGTCCAAGGCATGCAATCCACACTTAATCAGTTGGCAATCAGTGTCCGTAGGTATGGTATGTGCTTTGCACCTTCGAAGTGCAAAGTACTTCTACAAGACTAGCAGGATTCCAATCCTGTACTCACCCTGGATGGTGAGCAGATAGACGTAGTCGAAAAGTTCGTGTATCTAGGTAGCTGCATAAGTGCTGGTGGGGGTGTGAGTGATGAGATCAATGCACGTATAGTGAAAGCCAGAGCGGCTTATGCCAATCTGGGCCACCTTTGGCGCCTTCGTGATGTTAGACTGACTGTAAAAGGTCGGATCTACAACGCGTCGGTGAGAGCAGTTTTGCTCTATCCTTGTGAAACCTGGTCTCCGAGTTGGGGACGTTAAACGACTCTCTGTGTTCGATCGTCGCTGTCTCCGAAGGATTGCTGACATTCAGTGGCAACACCATGTTAGTAATGCAGAGGTTCGGCATCGTGTGTTCGGGCACAGAGATGGTAATTCAATTGGTGTCACCATCTTGAAACACCGACTTCGCTGGCTTGGATATATTTTATGAATGTCTTCCCAGAGAATTCCACGTCGTGCATTATTTGCCGACTCTGGGACCGGTTGGAAGAAGCGGAGAGGTGGTCAGTGCATGACATGGTGTCGTGGTATGAAAGAGCTGCAAAGGACTGGCTTCTGTCGGTCCTTCACGACTCCCTGGTTGGGGTCTGAGTGATGGTACTACACAGTGGCTAGAGACGTTATCAGATATGGCTCAGAATAGAAGCCAGTGGCGATCCTGCTGTAACCTTCTTTTACTTTCTTCATAAAAAGTGGTTGTGTCTCCTTTACCTGAAAGATTTCTTCTGATTGTACCTTTTCGTTCCCTCGTTACTACCACACTACCTTACTCCAATCTCTTCGCCATTGTTCTCTTTTTCTTTTGCGCTCCTTAGTTTTTTTTCTCTTTCTACTTCTCTTCGAATTCTCATTGTTTTGTGTGGCGCATATATATTGGCGCTCTCTTGTGCCAATATTCATGTGTTCAAATAAATAATAATAATAAAATACAGTTGTATCCGTTTTGCTGCTCCGATTATTTTTTCCAACTTTCCTGACAAATATCGCATGAAATATTAGTTTGTTCTGCCTGGAGTTCGATTTCAGAACAATACAGGGCTAAAAAGTCTTCGCGTAATTACATAGGCAAATTTATAGTCAAATCACATAAGTGCACAGCAAGACATCAACATCTGAAAAGAAGCACGGGATACAGTGGATATCTAGGATGCAGTTAGACGATCTAGACTTCGCAGACGATCTGGCCCTTCTATCCCAAACGTAACAACAAATGCAGGAGAAAACGACCAGTGTAGCAGCAGCCTCAATATCAGTAGGTCTCAATATATACAATGGGAAAATTATGAGAATTCTGGTCGGCGGCCTATGCTCCATTGGGAGTAACAGGCGTAAGTAAGTAAGTAAGGCAATGCAAAAGCTGACAATATGATTTGAGCATATATACATGTGGGAGGAAATAAATCATCCATTGATATTTAAACAATCAACATTTTATCTAGAGGAGGTCATGTGACCGAGTGATCATAACGGTACAGAGAATTATGTAAATTGTTACTGTTCAAATAGAAATTTCTATTAAGTAAGTAAATGAACGGCCATAACCAAAATTAACTGTAGTCGAAATCGGTTGTAAAATAATTGTAATATAATCTTCGAAAGCTTCAGAATTTGAATGTATATCTAACTGTTCAGTCACAGGCGTCATAGAGATGCGAATATGGTAGTCAGAAGAACTTGAGTTATTATGCGAACTAGGTATCCCCCAAGTAAGGCAGTTTGAGTCAGGTAGAACTCGGTCAGTACAAACGAACGTTTCGTATTTCAAATTCGAAATCAACCAGGAAATCGACCATGGACGAAATATTAGTTCATGAAAACACCACAACTCTTCACACGTGTGTGATAATCTGCATATATTTTTTATTTTCTGTGTTTCTTACGCAACTCTCTATTTTTTGTATCCTAACTTATAATCTCATTTATGAAGTACACTTATGCGGAATTCGATTTATTTCGGGCTTTTATATCCACATTATTACTAGCGTGATTATTTGACAGCGAATATATTAAATTGGGTAAGAAATATGCTGTATGAACATCCTCATCTCCTAATAATGTTGGAGTCACACCGGTGCCTCAATCCTGTTTATATGGCTGAAGTTACTTCTAAGAGATGGGTACCCAATTATTAAGCTAAGCACTGTACAATCAGCTACTGAACAGGTAAGTATTGTGTTTGTACAAGACGGTGTTATCGGACCTGTCTTACTCACTATATACGTCAACGATAAATTAGTGCTCCGACGAACACCAGGTTGCCAAGTATTAATACACGAGTCAAGCAAAAGACAATTTCTATGTCATTCATATTGAATTGAACATGTGGAGACATGCATGACAAGCTTATTTTGTAAATAGTTTTTGATGTTATTTGTATTTATTCTACTAGTTTTTCATACCCTGTACATTTACTATTAAATGATTGTACGTGTTGTTTAATTGCATGACCTTGAACAAACTTTCTTCCGTCGTGTTACACTCATAGCATGATACGCTCTGTAACCTACTAACAAATACACTGCTATACACTGTAAAATCCAAACTACGGTTTGGATGTTGAAGAATAGCCGACCGGGGACTTTAGACACGCGCCTTATCCCGTCGAAATCAAAACAAGTAATCGGGTAACTAGCGGTTCTATAATTCATAATAAATTTAATGCAAATCATTACCTAAACAAATATTATCACCCGGCTATTCAACCAATGATTGTTCAATCAATTAAATCTAAATTACAATAAATAAAGAAGTTGATAGAAGATGAGGAAAAATTACCAGTTACAACAAATGAACGTTATTCTATCCTGACTGGATAGATCACACACAACAGGAGGAACAAATCAATATGGCTACCGCCAAGAACAAGTGTCAAGTAAAACAACACAGATGCAGTTCAGGAAGAAACATAAACTTAGTGAATGCATAATAAAAACAAAACTATAACAAAAAAATACAAGTATTAACGATTCAAATGTAACCAAAATACAACAATGTACAACTAAGGGGATCAATAGGAACAAAGTACAAGTATATACATGGAGGGATTTTCACCAACACACAAAACATTCAAGATGGATCTTACATACACATACCTCTTGTTCTCCATTTGCTCGTGATTGTGTTAACTGAACTCTAAATCAACTACTATCTACATTTATAGACTGCAACCAAATTATACCATATTCTATGTTTGGTTATATCACTGGAAGGACATTAATCTTACTGAAATCTTTAGTCATCTATAATTGTGGATTTTGGTAGCAAACTCAACCGGAGCACACACAAACCTGTTAAGTCACGTCTCTAATTTTTGTTGTGTTTATAACGTTTAACTGATATATACTAACATTACAATTTGTACTTAATAACTCTGTTATCATTTTTGAGTTCATATATTATTTGGTCCACCACAAACAGGATCACTGCGTATTTTTGTCTCTTTATTCTTTCTTATCAACTTTAACTTCATAAACGTCCTATTATTATGGAAGCAAGTGTTTAATTAAAAAGGTATGAGGACAAATGTTGGTTTGATATCCTTGTAGTTTCATCGATCACAAAATACTTGAAAATAGTATATACTGTTTTGAACGATGGTCAATAGGTAAGTAGAGGTCCTAATGTAGCTTAATTTCTGCTGAATGAAGGTGGCTAATATGTCACATATTACTCCTATTCTGATTTAATCATGATTATGTGGTTGTATCTATTAGAGTATCAGTTCAATATACGTTAATTTAGACTTCACAGTGAAATATAACAAACTGAATAGTAAAAATAGGCATCTTTTGTTCGAATTTTCGTAATGATTCACTTCATAAAAATGAATGTGAATATATCGCGTAGCATCCGTGTTTAGGAAATATCTGAAGTGGTAAAAAAGCCACTAAAATAATCAGTTTTATAAATACTTGACAATGATACCAACACTGTTAGTTATAATGTAGACTACTAGCTGAAAGCTCTTTGTCAAGAGTCGTCCACAGGCCATAATATGACCCACACTTCTAGTCTTCTAGATAAGCAATCTAGATGTCTGACGTTGCTTTGATTATCTCTACAATCATACATAAGTTCCGTCAAAACAACCATCACTTACGTCCTTGCTCTCATCCGAAAGAAATCGTTGGAAAATACTTGGAAACATGCGTTATTGGACTCTGTCTTACCAGTTGGATCTCCAGACTTTCGATTTGAAAACAGAGGAGTTAGGGATGATTGACTAAACGTGAACGTTTTGGGCATCTACAATGATACTGTCGTATAAACATTTGATGGGTTATTTTTTCTTATTTGATAGTTTTGATACTTACATACGCTTGTTACTCCTCGTGAAGGAGCATAGGTCACTCACCAGCATTCTCCATCCAACTCTGTCCTGGGCAATTCTTTCTAGCTCCTTCCAGTTCCTGTTCATCCTTTTCATATCTGATTCTATTTCCCGACGTAATGTGTTCTTTGACCTTACTCTTTTCCGCTTCCCTTCAGGATTCCCAATTAGGGCTTGCCTCGTCAGGCAGTTTGATAATATCCCCAATATATGTCCTATCCATTTCCATCGTCTTTTCCTAATTTCCTCTTGAGCTGGAAGCTGGTTTGTTCTCTCCCACAGTAGGTTGTTTCTGATGGTATCCGGCCAATGGATGTTGAGTATCTTGTGTAGACAACGACTTATAAATACCTGTACCTTCTTGATGGTGGTTGTTGTAGTTCTCCAAGTTTCAGCTCCGTACTGTAGAAGTGCCCTGAAGTTGGTATTGAAGATTCTCACTTTGATATTGGTTGGGAATTGTTTTGAGTTCCATGTGTTCTTCAACTGCAGAAATGAGACCCTTGCTTTGCGAATCCTCACCTTTACGTCTGCATCTGAACCTCCTTGTTCATCGATTATGCTCTCCAGTTATGTGAATAATTCTACATCTTCCAGAGTTTCGCCATCAAGAGTGATTGGATTGCTGTTCTTCGTTTAGAATTTGAAGACCTTGGTTTTCCCCTTGTGTATGTTGAGGCCTACTGATGCAGAGACTGCTGCTACACTGGTTGTCTTTATCTGCATTTGTTCGTGTGTATGCGATAGGAGGGCTCGGTCATCTGCAAAGTCCAAATCGTCTAATTGGTTTTGAGCTGTCCATTGTATGCCGTGTTTTCCCTCAGATGTCGAGTTCTTTATAATCCAGTCGATAGTTTTGATACGATTGTACATTTCAGTAAGGTGAAACTCAATATAAAAACATGGATCATGCTACATTCCTCCCACCATCAGGCGACATATATTGTGAATCTGTGTCATTACAACTCTAAATTACAATGATTGATTAGAAAAGCTGACTAAGTCAAGTTGGATATGGGCTAGTAGTAGAATCAAAAACTCGTGTTTTGACCTATTTGTAACTCATAACATAGATTCACATACATCTGAATGTTCGTATTTACACAGAGACTGAAATTGGGAGACTTTTACTTCAAATAGTTACGCTTTAACCATTGAGTTACTGAGTTAAATGTTGAAATTCTCTGATTAATTCCAGCTATTCATTACAACAGAGGAAAAATACAAACCCCTGTGAAATAAAATTAATGTATTTAAAAACTTTTACATGATTGAGTTCATTTTGTAAAATGTTTCTAAAAAGGATGATCTTTTATGCATAATCATCAAAATAATAAAATAATGTTCTGTGTTTCATTCAGATCCATGAACATACCTTTTGATCACTGGATGCTGAATATAAATATCCTGATTCATAATCTAATACAATGGATTGAACCGAATCATCATGTCCTTGTAATGTAGATATCTAGATAATTTCCAAAATAAAATGGATAATATATATAGATATAGAGGATTACATTCAAATGGATATAATGAACTTATTCATTGTGCTCAACTATTATTTTGATGAAGTTTTGTTCTCTGAGGTGAAGCTTTCATCGTTCTTCTGAATGATATCATCAGTACATATTTCAGGTAGAAGTGAAATGTTCGAATTTCTCCACATGTGATTCACAGTTTTTCCTGTAGACCTTAATGTTGATTGGTTCTTGTTGAACTTAAGCCTATCATTGTTTACTTCTTTGTTTTGGTTGTATCTTCTACTGGTTTGACTTTTTGTTTGTGATGATGTCATTAAGAAGAATGATGAAAGCTCCACGACTAAACCATCCAGTTTAGAGAACAAAACTCTCAAAACCATCCACATGTGCTAAAAATCTTCTCCACCATCTCAACTATTATTCTCATTCTACTATAAGGTTGAGTGATATTGTATAACTGATTAAAGTATGCATCATTACGTTAAACATGCCCCACTCAATGACTATCCATTCTGATACATGCTAAATTGGTTGTGTAGATTTTTTATCCAATTATTACAATCAAAATAAAGTCACATCGAATTCAATGGATGAGCTCAAGATTCACTGACTATTTCATGATCAGAATCTTGATAAGTAATAAAATAGAGTTCTGTGCAATTTCATGAACTTTTCCTTCATATAATACATTCAGAATTAACTCCGCCTAGAGTCCCTCCTGCGGCTACTGCCGGTCCCAAGCCTGGATAAAGGAGGAAGGTTGGGCATGGGGTTAGCGACCCCATCCCGTAAAAAACTAACTCGCTAAAATGAAGCTAATCAGAAAAAATCATTCAAACTTTTTAAACTCTGTCCTGGGAGTCAGAAGTTCTTCATTGAGAAGAGTTATAACGCCTCATGAAAGCCGAGGTCCTTCGGAAGTCACAAGGCCGATGCCCCTTCTGACAACCAGAGCAACAATTTATTTAGGTACATGGAATACTCGTATAATGTGGGAGACCGGGAGAGTCTTTCAAATTGCTGCAGAGATGAAGAAATACAACGTAGAGGTGCTTTGGATCAGTGAAACACATTGGACGCAAGTTGAACTGTGGTGTGAGCTACTTATATTCATATAAGTAGTATATAACGTGCGTTAAAAGAACGTAACGTCCGGCAGCAGAAGATGGCGAAGATCAAGAAAGCAAGAGCAAGAGCACAATGGAATTGTAAGGAAACGCATGTACAATGGAATGGGCGACAATGGATTAGTGTTTGCAACGGGAACAGTACAGTTTGATATGATGGAATGATATTTTGCAAATTGACGATTGACTTTATGGTATTCACATTTTATTGAGATAGTCTGTAATGTTTGTGCTAAATACAATCGATTGTCTCCACCCGTGTTCTTGTTCACTACAGAACAACAACGACTAGCTTCAGCTGATAAAAGCCATCTATATACATTAACAGTGTGTAACAATAATCCAATCAATATCTTGAAAAGTATTGAATTAAGAGTCTTTCAAATAATCTTCGACCGACAAATAAGATAGGATTTCGAGTCTTATCATCGTTTGAACTAAACACATTTAAGATACTTATTCTTATTTAAATCAAGCAGATTTCATTTACTCAATAGTATAACTGACTTTGACTAATGAAAGAAATATGATCTATGTGAACAGTAAAGTTTAGTAGCATAGTCAGTGCAAGTCTGAAGTCTGTTGAAATCAATTAACTTCTTTCAGAATTCTACAATTGTAAATTAAAATTCCTGCAGGAGCTGGTAGTGACCTACTTTTATCAAGAGAACGCGATTGGTTCAATGAAAACAACTATTATTATAACCAATTGTACCAGTGATTGTTTTACTGTACATGTTTGTTTAACTGTACTAAAGACATTTTTCCGTTGATTGTGAAATTGCACGCACTTGCATTTGTTCAGTTATACCACTTGTACTCTTTTGGCACGATCTCGGTATTCTCTCGATACCACGGGATCGCCAACAAATATATATCGCTACAACTTCCAATCGCCTTCTGATATCTGGTACACAATCTTCTTGTAGTGGTGATCATAGTCAACCGCAAATCCACCCCACGCTACAAGCTCTCATCATGAAAATTTGTTTTATCAAACTATAGATGAATATTATAGAGTTCAGTCAGTCAGTAACAACGCAGAACTTCGTTCTCACGTACATCAGTTCGAGTTGCCATACTACATCACATTAGCATAGAGATGCAGTTGTCGATTCAAATCCCATAGTGGTAGAGGTAGTAAGAATATAAGAAATGATCGTGAAGATTAGTGTTTGGAGATGTTATTCAACGAGAGAGAAAAGAGACAAGAAGGAATCAGGAGATTAAAATTTGGGAGAACACAAAGAGTGGATGCACCTGCGCCATTGCAAACGATTTTGAGCCATCTCATTCAAAGTCTCTAACCATCGGTTTCTATCATCTCGCGGATTCCAACCAGGTAGTCTACACCTATCAACATGACTCAGTCCACTTGTCAGTGACTTCATGAACTTGTGCCATGTTTTGGTCTGGCTGCCCCTAACTTTCTTCCAACCTACTCCTTATATTATAGAGTTACATCAAAATGTACTGAAAGATAACATACTTGACCAGTTGATATTTCTATACAATAAATTTTAGAATCATCACAACCAGCAACAATATATTCACTATTCAAATCAATAACTAATTGATTAATTCCAAGTTTATTTCGTTGTTCTAATTGTTTATATTGTATAGATGTAGGATTTGAATGATGATTAGGATGTTGTTTATGAGGATGAGGATGATTGAAACGATCAAATTTTCGAGTTTTATTCAAATCAAAACAAGTAGGCAAACATTTCACCTCCACATTATTATTATTATTATTATTATTATTATTATTATTATTATTATTATTGTGCATTTTCATTTTTAAGGTAGGCAGATTTGTTTCAAATGAGAAATTATTGATTTTACGAAGATCCCATAATCGAATAAAACCTCCACTGTCACATGATATCACATTGGTACCTTGTTGATTAAATATAGCACAATTGATTGAATGTGTATGACCAAGAAATGTATGCTCACATAAACCCTATTAGGTTATATGGAAGAAAGAAAAAAACATAATGAGATAATATCAGTATTGACTATTCTTTGAATAGTATCTATCTAGTTTCTAAGTTGTTATCTGGAAAACCTTGATTAATATATTACTTACTTACTTGCTTACACCTGTTACTCCTATTGGAGCATAGGCCACCGATCAGCATTCTCCAACCCACTCTGTCCTGGGTATTCCTTTCTAGTTCTATCCAAATTTTTGTTGATTCTTTTCATGTCTGTCTCCATTTCTCCTCCTAGAGCCCCTCTTGGGATACTGCTGGTCCCAAGCGCGGATAAAGGAGGAGGCTTCGGTATGAGGTTAACAACCCTATCCCGTAGAAAACTAACTCGCTAAGAAAACGCTAACCGGAAAAATAAATTCAAACCATTTAAAGTCTGCCCTGGGAGTTAGAGTTTTCATTTAGAAGTTATGTATATTCCTTGTGTATTGTTATTTTTGTGATATTGTTTTATCTAAGCTGAATATTTTAATATCGAATCTTTGATTTTCTTTCCTCAGTAACAACAAACGCTGAAAAGTAATTAATTCAAAGAATTTCACCACAACCTATTTCGTTGAAGGCACTCAACGAGTTCCTGAAGTATAGCGCAAAGTTTACAGAAACGGAAACATAATTGGCTAATAATTTGTTTTGTAGATGTAAACTTAAATTAATTGCTGTCAACAACTTTGATTGACTGTTCTCTTCCCCAACCTGACCTTTGAACCTGTGGTTTTATATTAGTACAGTTGTCCACTGGTTAATTCAATTTACTTTAATATCAGGGAGATAACGTGCAATTCGAAGTTTTTATCTAAACAGACAATGGTAGTCTTAAAACCTATGTTATGATATGACTGTAGCAACCAGTGAGGGAGGCTAAATCTGACTCACACGTCCGCATCGTGCCTCCTGCATAATGAGACGAATAACTCATGAACTAACGTGAGCGGTAACCCGGGTGGTGGAAATCGGGCTAATCACCCACTCTTACCTATACCCATCAATCAATTACGAAACCCACAGAGAAAGTGATAGCATAAATAAATTTGGAATGGAAAACGACAAAAAATTTTCGAAAGTGGTGCATGTATCATATGGAGTTGCTCGTCATTGGGCAAACTCCAAAGGATTTCAGAAACAACTATTCTAGCCCTGGTAGTTGTGCCGTGCTTCGATGTGGCCTGTTTCTCTCCAGAAGGGCCTAATAGGCTTCACCAACTTGTTTGGCAGGAAGGGAAGGGGCAAGCAGTGAAATGCAAGACAAAATTTTCATCCTATTTGGAATTCATTAATTATGTGCACTCCCATCATTCTGTTAGTACTTACCATAAAAGTCAACTGATATGCAATAACATTTAGGTAATAAATAAAAAAAGAGACCATATCCCTGTCTCGTATACGATTGTTAGCTGTAATCCAGACATCTAATAAAGACATCGTGTGACCCTCGATCTTGATTGTTTATTGTTGTTCAGAAGAACGATGAAACCTTCATTACTAAACCATACAGCTCAGAGACCAAAATCATCCACCTGAACAACAAATCTTCCCTACCATCTCAATATGCACTTATATTTAATTAACAAATTCTTTAGTAAAAGCCAACGAAACAGTGTTACTTACCGAACGACCATCCCATAAACACACTGTTCTATCTGATGAACCAGTAACTAAAATATTTCCATAAGGTAAAAATTGAATAGAATTCACTGATTTACTATGCCCTCTAAGTATTGTACAACATGATGTTGCAGAACGTGTGCTTAATAAATCTTTATTCATTTTAAATGACATCAAAGCGTGTTCAACATTCCATAGACGTATTGTATTATCCATACCACAACTAGCTAAATAAGTACCAGTCCAATGCCAATTCACAGACCAAACAGCTCCAGTATGCTGACGTAAAATACCAATACGTTTACAATGATTCTGTTCCGATATCTTGTCATCGATAAGGTCAATTTTCCATATCTGAAATGGAATTTAACATTTATGAATATATATATATATATGCTAGTGGGCGGCCTATGTTCCTCCACGAGGTGTAACAGCCGTAATATATATATCTGTTGCTTCAAAGTATGTTGTTTCCCAAGACTAATGTTCAAGCCCATTCTGTCGATAGAATCCAGAATACAAGTTACATACTATTTGGAACTTATCAGCTTTATATTTCTGTTTATTAATGTTGATTTCTAAACTGGAAATCGTAACCAGTACCCTAATCCTCAATTAGAATCTTCAATAACAATGTTCTGTAAATGCTAGTAATGCTGTTAAAATGCCTGAAACCAAAGCATAGGAAGTGATAACCAAACTTGTAAATTTGACTTAAACTATCTTTAAAGTTGATGAACTAAGAACAACTTAATAATGTAAGTAATTGTTATGCAGCTATCAACTGTTTACTTACTACTTTACTTACTACTAATACAGCGAGATTATAGTTTATGGACGAACCAATAAGATTTACGGTAATAGATCTTGGATTTCAACGAGAAATTCTTTATCCATTTGGCTAAATAACGTCGTGTCATTTTAAATAATGTCAGTTCGTGAGGAAACATCAAATGGAAATCATAATTCTAATTCCTCACACTGGTTTATAACCTTCATTTAGCCATAGTCAGTAGGTGGATACTCCCAAGGTCCCTCTAACATCGCTTAAATGTTGTCCATAAATTATAGTCTCGCCATTAATACTTCTTCAGTACTTACAGCCTACGTGTAATATATTGTCAGTCTCAGCCCCTTATTGTGTACATACATACCTATAAATAGTGTGGAGTTAGGTTGCCTATTAGTTCTTCTCCTTTTAACCTCTGATCACACTATTATTCTCTGACACAGAACATTGTAAATATTCCATTTGATGACAATAAGAACCGTAAACAGCAGGGTTTCAAATCATTCACTAGATCCCTTTCAAATAGATTTCAATAACGATGTTAAAACACTACTTTGATTTGACTATTTTAAACCTAGTTAATCCGTATATCTCACACTGTACTAATGTGTAATATGTGTCAACTAGGATTGTGTTCCAGGACTAATGCTATTAAAAACAAATAATATCCATAATCAACTTGGAGTTCATAGGGATTTTTATAAGGGAGTTTCGACATATTGAATTTAAGGTTCAACAATGAAACTCTTCTTTTGCTTTGAGAAACTAAAGAAGTTATGTTACCGGATTCTGATGAGTATTAAGCTACAATGACAGTTCATGATTATATCATTTAACGAGTATTATAAATATTGAAATGATAGTAAAAACGTGTCGCTTAAATAAATAAGGGTTTAGTATGGAAGAGTTTTTCTGTAACATTTTTATTGACCCTATTAACAACTTGATCAATACAACAGAAGTCTTAAAGTAGATGATAATTTGTTTTAGAAAACTTTCTTAATCATCACTATATTATTTATTTGAACACATTGATTGAAGTTAGACATTAACACCGTTGGATGCACGCTAGCTCTGTAGCCTAAAGTCTGCGCGCGGAGATCGATAGGTCCTGGAGCCGAGCCCAGTGTGTGACGACGTGGACGCGGCACTGCTGAGAAGTTCCATACTAGGACGAATCAGTGATCCAGTGCATCCAGGTTCTCCATGGTGTTATAGCTTCAATTAATTCATGGATTCAACTATCAAACTACTGAAATCTCCACAAAATCCCCTCCTGATAATAATCGTTCTTTGTCAATATTTACTTACTTACGCCTGTTACTCCTTGTGGAGGAGAATAGATCGCCCACCAGCACTCTACATCCAACCCAGTCCAGGGCAATTAATTCCAGCTCTTTTCAGTTATTATTCATCTTTTTCATATCTGCTTCTATTTCCAGACGTAATGTGTTCTTTGACCTTCCTCTTTTCCGCTTCCCTTCAGGATTCCAAGTTACTACTTGTCTCGTGATGCAGTCGCTGAAAAAAACTGTTTTTAATTTTTTTCTAACCTCTTTATCTCATACATAATCTTAGTGATATACAAATACTAATCCTGTTGTGTATTACGTTTACATAATCCTCTGTTGATCATCGTAACTAGAACATCACCTCCCCCCAACACCTTACGTTGTACTGTTATGTTCAGTTCTTCACATCATAACGATTTTTTTTGGTTATGTTCCTAATATTCATACAAACTACACTAATTATGTAAAACATTTATTGATAAGTATATCAATAATTGTACATTCAAACCGCTGGCAGCTAATGAGAAGTAGTGAATTTATAGTGAATTGATTTTATCCTGAAAGAGTGATTTTTCTTGTTGCTCCGTTTAAATTTATCAAGGGATCTGGTTACATAAGAATAATTTCCGTTAAATCTTTCGAAGCGTCCGATCACATTATTGAGATAAAGGCTCAGAATCGAAGTTCACAAAGCAACAAAGCGGTCCTCAACTTGTGAATTATCTGTGTTGCTTGGCACGTCTATAATTCTGAAATAAATAGGGGCTTCGACTGTGCAAATGACAGGTGTTAATGATGTCTAATCTTGATAACAGTGTATCAACAAGCAAAAATAGAATCAAGAGCAAATACTATAGAAACCGTTGCGTTTAAACAAGGATTAAACCACCATACAAAATTGTGAACAACTGCTACAAGGATCGAGAGAAATTAATTATAATGATAAATACAATAAATGTTATCGGTACATATCAGTATCTCAGAAAATTACACGACAAACTTACTTCACAATATACGCGTAGGCATTTCAAGGAATACAACTATTTACTGAATATTAATAAGTAGTATAAAACAATACACAAAAGAGTTGAAGGGAAATGAATAAGGACAGAGAACGTAAACAAACTTAACTGTGTTGATTTGTCAATTATCCTATAGACCTCACTCAAGCAATGCACAGGTTTCGGCATCTTAAAAGTCAGTCACTTCATAGACTAATGTAGTAGTATATTCTATCCACTTCTAGCTTTCTACCATCCTGTTTATTAACTAGTCAAGATTATACATTGAGATGAACTATTGTTTAGAATATGTAGCATATATCTTAGACAATTCAGTCGGCGAAAATTCATGGTTTTACTAACTGACTTGGCAAAATCAAACGATGTTTCATCATAATTAAAAACCCATACGGAACATACAATCACTCGTCTATAGAAACGTTCAGTCATATTACTAAACTGAAAATGATTCAAAATATCTATAAATTTTAGCCTGTGTTATTTGTTACTACTGTACCATGCATCATTTCACATTGACTACAATCTTGGCGACATTATAACCAGAGATTGTGATGATCCGTACATGATGCCCATATCCCAATAAGAGACTGATCAATTGCTATCCTAAACATCAGTGAGAAGATCCAAACAACCAATACAAAAAGTACATAATCCTATTGATTTTGTGGAAAAGCATTTCTATAAACATGTAATAGACTACTAACTAATTATTCAACATTGAAACTTAGTCATCTTCGATATCGTGCTCTTAAACTTATCAACTCACTCTATTCAGCATGAAGGTCAATACATATTACTACCTGATAATAAGTTCATTATCATATAAAGGCTATTGAACAGATATAAATGGTGACTGAAAGTGGAATCTCGGACGCTCGTTTCATCAGATCTGGGACTCATCAACCTATGACTTAAGGTGTTTTCGTAGTAGTCTATACAGAATACTCATATATCAATAGAGATTGATCACTTACAGTCCATCATGGAACAATTCAAACAACAGATACAAATGAATTAAAGTTATAGAGCATTTACTTTGAGAAAAAAGAACTCACTTGAATAGAACCTTGAGCATTTCCTGTTGCTAATATTTCTTCTTTAGGATGAAAATCAATTGATGATATCCAATCATTTGTTATTAGTTTATATTCCATTAATAATTCTAATTTTGGAATTTTCCACAATTTCCATAATTTATCATCACCAACTGAACATAACCATGATTTATTTGAATGAATAGCTAATCTAAAGTTTTATTTTAGTACATAGATACAAAGAGTGTTACTATTTAAAATGAATTAAGGTGAATTTATTCTATTTGAACATATAAATATTGGTACAAAGGGGTACTGAATACATATGCGCCACATAAGTCCATTGATTTTTGTGTGGACTGGGATACTGCCTGGGTGCCCAAATTGAAGCAGATGTTTTTCTTAGGGGGCTACACGCCGACCTTTTGACCTAAAAGACCGATCCACAAGGCAGTGGAGCAACGTAAGGAGATACAGTCCCATGTTAGCCGGTGACCAGAGATTGTTTTATACGTCATTTGTTCCTTCAGAATTCTGGAGCCCACGTACATCAATGGTTTGGAATCAGGGTTTTCCAACTCCCCATAGGTGGATCCTCCATATCCATCAACCTGGTTAAGGCGCCGGACATTCGCTCTTTGTCCTCTCAATGTCGTAAACAATAGTAATGCCGTGGGAAGGCAGTGAGTAGGACTTCCGTGGCATCAGCTGTATACTCCTGCCCATATGAGAGCATTTGGTGATGGAAAGTAGGCTCCTCCTCACCCTCGGCCAAAGATAGATATAACGAAACTTTATTTGTGATCTTCTGTACACTACGTTGAATTGTGTCCCCCATTATTTTCAAATCCAATTACTTTACGTTATGAACAGATGACAAGAATCTAATGAAATAAATATACGTTATTATATCCAAATCACCGTTATTGGTTCTTTTTTTTTGAAGCTTATTCATGGTAATACGCATATGAAGAGATATATATTTGATCGTATATCGAGACACTTTCCAGTAGTACTTATCCATAATTGTATATGGAATGGAATGTAAAACTTTCAAATTTAATTGCTAGTACCAAACATTTCGATCATTGAGTAAGTGTTCGATGGTTCTTTGATAATTACATGAATAAACGTTTTTCCTTGAAGCATCAGTAAATAATATTGATTTCAATTAGATCATCATCACGTTTTCGTCCATCATAAGTGAGGGTATGAGGCAAACCAAAATGAGTTTGACATCAAGAAACGTGTCAGCAAAAGAGTGGACATTTTCTTCAAGTTATTTGGACGTCAAAGGATGGAATCAATACGAAGTTCCAATTTTTGACACTTAGTCGACATATAGTGAACGCAAACACAAGTGGGACAATCTAATGTATTTGAATAGAAAATACAGAATGTCAATTAACTGTCCCAAACTTGACTATTCCTTTTGCAAAATGTCAATAATTCCTCTCAGACTTGACTGTTCCTTCGTTTCCATATCAATCACTCTCTGTTCTCGTTCTCTTTCCTTCGATCTTCTTAACCATCTACCACCAGGTATTTCACTTTGATTGATGATACATACTACTTATATCTGTCGATATCAGTAGTACACACCCTATATAATGATCATGTGCTACATAAAATGATTTGCAGATAGAATGATCTACTAAATACTTCGAATGTTTCACAATGAAGACTAATCTTATCACTTATATAAGTAGAAAGTTATGAGGATTCGAGTCAACAGATCTAGTCTTTCGATTCAAACAAAACTTGTAAGATCTTTGTCTTTTACTTAACCACGATTGTATAAATCCTTTTAATTCATTTTCTATTTCTGTTCACTCCTTTCACATATTTTCCTTACTACTTGAAAATATGTAAAATAAATTAGTGTTGATCATTGAGATTCAACTTAACATTAACGGAACTCAGTCGTTTACAACATAGTTCCATGAACCAACTAATCATCAATTGCTTTTAAATTATCCAGATTTGTGAACTCTATACTGATTCCATATGTGTGGAATTTCAATAATACACATTTAATCCAGAACGTACTTTGCTTTATTGATCAATAAAAAGATCTGGATGATGAGACTAGAATTTATGGACGAACCAATCAGGTATAAGATAACGAATCATATATTTTGGAGCGAAATTCATTCATCCATTTGGATAAATAGAGTTTTGGTATTATAGCTGATATCCATTCATGATGAAAACTCTAAATGTAATTTCTAACCTCTAAACATTAACTGTAAATCATAATTCTATTTCCTCATACTAGTTGATAATCCTCATTTGATCCTGGTTATTAAGTGGAGTCCCTCCGAGGGCTACTGACGGTTCCAAGCCCAGGTAAAGGAGGAGGGTTGGGCATGGGGTTAGCGACACCATCCCTTAGAAAACTAACTCGCTAAAAAACGCTAACCAGAAAAAATTATTCAAACAATTTAAACTCTGTCCTGGGAGTCATAAGGTCTTCATTCAGAAGAGTTATGACACCTCATGGTGAAAGCCGAGTTCCTTCGGAATTCACGAGGCCGACGCCCCTTCTGACAATCAGAGCAACCACTTATTTAAGTACATGGAATACTTGTACAATGTGGGAGACCGGAAGAGTCTTTCAAATTGCTGCAGAAATGAGGAGATACAATGTAGAGGTGCTTGGGTTCAGTAAAACACATTAGACGAAAGTTGGACAACAGCGACTAGCGTCATTAAGTAGATACTCTCAAGGTCAGTCTAGCGTCCTTCAAAGATCATCCATAAATTATAGTTTCACCAAATGTATGTTTATCAATATGCAATAAAGTAAATTAAAAGTTATTTTCAATATAAAGTTTACTTGCTAATAGCTGCATTATGAGCGCGTATACTCATATCTAATTTTCTATTATCTAATCGTGTAAATTTATATGAATGATTTGTAAGTTTTGCCAATAATGGATTCACTTTATGATCAATAGATAAATCACAAAATCCAATCTAAGGAAATAAAACAAAAAAAGAATTGTGCGTTTAGTGATCAAAGAATACAATAATAATGGTTTGTTGTATCATTACTTCGTCCTAGTACGTGACTCCTCATCAGTGTACACCTACGACCCCGTTCGCGAGATTCAAACTCAGGATCTATCGGTCTCGTGTGTGAACGCTTCACCTCTTGATCAATGAGCTGGCATCCAATGGTGTTAATGTCTAACTTTAACCAATCCACAAAATTGTGCCACTGTCCACCATTGTCTTCAGTAAGTTAATATCTCACAACAGACACGGTTGAACTCTTCTGGTTACGGCTACTCACTAGTCAGTTTCAACAATTCTTAATCACTTTATTTGTAACTAACTTATGTGAGACTCGATATTTGCAGCTAATTTGTATGCACCATCAGCTGGTAGATATGAATATAAATAAATAGTCTATGACAAATCAGAACATTGAGTCTAGAGCATGTTTTTTACGAATAAACACATGTTTAAATAATTCCTCTTATCTCTCTGTCCAAAATTCACATAATTATTACTTTTCATGTATTATTCACATAACTCCAGGAAATCATCTTGAAACCAGTTACTAGTGAGCACATGATGATCGTGGATCATAGATGCGCACTGCTGAGGAATTATATACTAGTACAAAACGGCCGTCCACCGTTTCCAGGTTTTCCATAGAGATATAGCTTAAATTGACTCATGAATTCAACTATTAGAATGTTAATCCTGCGGGCGGGTTCGTGGATGCGCACTGCTGAGGAGTCCCACAAATGAACGAAACGGCCGTCCAGTGCTTCCAGGTTTCCAAAAGTAGTCTAACATCAATCGGTTCATGATCTCAATCAAAAAGTGAGTTTTATTGGAAGGTATAGACGCTCAGATTTAATCTACACAATAAAATTAAAATCGCTTAAAAACCATAAATGATATAAGTTCATATCGTTTTCAGCGGTACATATGCGTTTATGCTTCATGTTTTTTTCAAATCTTTAGTTTTATATTGATAAAGCAATCAGAGGATGAATTTGATGATGTATTTGTGTTATACATTCTGAATCATCTGATCATACACATACTCGTCAAGGCACTGTGATACTCTTCATGTCATTATATAGATGAAAATGCTGTGAAAACTTCTTATATTTTTCATAATGTATTGTTTCTTCTCTCATTAATTTACAATTACCAGTTTACGTTTTTTTCGATCTTTTATTGAAGTGGATTCCATTAGTTTTTTATTGATAAATATCTTCACAAATATATATCTGACCAGAGTGTTCAAAATGTATCGATATAAATACGTCATCTTCTTTCAAGTCAACTGGGTAGATGCAGACTACTTGGTTGGGTTCCACATGACTATCGTAACCAATGGTTGGATACTCTAGGTGACATGGCTCAGAATCGACTGCAATGGCATAGATGTTTACAATCTTTGTCTTCACTTAAACAGTGAGATTAAAATTGCTTTATTGATAAGTCCTGCAAATTGAACGCTATACCCGTTTCTTAAGTTATTCTGTAACCCCTAAGCTAGAACTATACAACGACCTGAACACGAAAGAGAAGGCGCAAAGTATGCGAGAAGTACTTTACTCCAAAGATTCATTGTAATACAGAAAATATAGGGTTTTTATAATATTTTAAATGTCCTTGGGTCGCCCGGAGATTCTGGAATGCTACTAGACATAGTAGCAGTATAGCAATCAGCCAATCAGAAACTCTACATGTGACGTTTCACTTCCTTGATGTTTTTGGCTGAAACTTAAAGTAAACGCTGATTAAATGAAATGCTTCCTAGTATTTCCTGATCCTTGCTTGTCTTTTGCGAGAAATTTTCTGGATCACCCCAACATTTATATCTTTCTTTCTACGAACTAATTCTTTCTACCTGTACTATATCCATAAACACAATCTTTTTTTATACATTACTACCATTGAAGTGACTACTTTTATGAATTTGGTGTTCATCTTGCGGTTGTAATGAGATGTGGCAACTTGGGCTGATGTATATATGTGCCTGGTCCCCCTTTGTAGCTGACTAAATCAACGTTGTCTTCGGATAGTTTTATCAAAGCTTACTACTGGGATCGATTGATTCAAATTTAATTTTACTATTAACTTATGCTTTCTATTCATATATTTTACTTAGTCTTTCAAAACTATATTGCTTAAGTTTAATATTTTACTTTATTTTTTTGATATCTCGAAATGATTGAAGTTAAACAATCACTGAAAACCCAAAAGGCATGGAATATATCAAGCTAGAGTTAATTTACACATGTATTAGGTTTCATATTGGTGATAAATAATAAACTGATATATTGCACCATGTCGTTTCATCCCTACTTTAGAGTTCGGTTTGATCATTATTTCAATCTGTACTAGAGTACATTCATTTACTTACCTCTGTTACAACATTTAATTCAATATACTAATGTTCATAGATATTTTGACCAATCTCTGGGTTATGCAACACATAGTTATTAAAGCGTCCAATTAACTGAAATAGAGTTTAGATTGGGTCCGTACGTATAAAATTGTTAAAGAAAATCAATAGAGGAGTGAGTAGTAGAGTAATAGACCACCTCTTAAAAACATGAAATCTAGTTGAATATTATCTCATTATTCAGTTTTTATAAACGAGTATTATGTATTGCAAGACAATTTATATATATATATATATATATATGTTTATTTAATCTTATGATCAAACGAAAGTTTTTCTCAAAAACCAACTATAAATATCTTACCCTTTTCAAATTATGATCCAGTTTAGTTTGGATATTAAACTTTTCTGATCTCATATAATTCTTTTTACACTTTTGATCAGTTTCTTTTTTATTCTGTCTACTTGTTGTATTTTCCAACCTTTTCTCAGTTACTTTATGATTCAGATCAACATTTTCAATATCGTTTGCATCATTAGACGTTATACCTAATTTTTGCAATGAAGTTAAAGCATGTCGAAGTCCTTCAACTTGGTTCATAGCTTTGTCTCGTTCAATTCTATGTAACGTTTTTTCTTTCATTGCTGTTTCATATTTTTGTCTTAATAATCTTAAAATTGGCTCATATTCAGCATAATGTTCTTTTACTCTAATCAATAATTTTGAAAACACTAAAGTTAAAACAACAATTACAAACCAAGATTTTTATGAATTGATTGTTACATTTAACTTTTTTTAGTTTAAAAGCGATTTCCATAATAAGCTAGTATTTAAGAAGGAACTTAAAAAGGATCGGTTGATCCTTGTGAACTTAATTCTCTTGTGGAGTAGGTAGGGTTACATTCACCCAACTAAAGAGAGCGTATACCGCTTTTTAGTTGTAAAGCACGGTCTACAGAAGTAGAAAGAACTCTTAGGCTGGAGATGCATGATCACAGCTGTTCTGAAAGCATTGCTTGTGTTTAGTGGAATGATCAAGTGAGTAATGTTGATATCAGATGCAAGGTACTAGGTAATGGTAACAAATGGTCACTTTGTGAATGTTTATTTACTGAGGTGGTTAAGACATGTGTTAAATATGTCCAACCATCGCCTACCTATACAGAAGATGTTGCTGGTTTGGATTTAGGTTGAGAGTAAACCGAAGATGGAAAACTAAGTCATAGTATCAGTCTATTGATTCATTTACTATTGGAAAGAGATATGCTTGTAAATTCAGACTACTTGACTGGGACCCATGTGGTCACTGCGGTTATGAGTTGAAAATTTTGGGCGACATGACTTAGAATCATTCTCAGTGGTTCAAATGTATTCACTTTTTATCATTGTTGACCCTAAGTCCCAGCATTTTTTCCAAAAATACCTTTGCACTCTGTCTTTAAGAATTATAATTGCAATCCCTAATTTTAATAATTATCATAGCTACTATATTATTTTGGTCTCTTTCGGTACTCATCTCATTGTGCCAAATTGGCACGACAACCTGAGCCAACGAATATCTGTGTCAAGCGCTACCTTAATGAAAACAGAGCAAGGGACTAAGCAAACATCTGGGGCGATTAGATAGCAAAAATCTGTTCTGATTCTAGTCCGAGGTGCTGTTGATGAATTCCTGTGTATAAATTTCAGCACCACAGCAATGTTTATCACTTACCATACGCATGGTTTTAAAATATGCTCGAAGTCAAACTTATATTATAAGTGGTGTTTATACTATTTGGATCAAAAAATTCAAGTTATTTAGATGTAGTTATGATTTATGGCTTACCTATGGGATAAGTTGTGAAATAATCCAGGCTAGGAAATGGAAATGAACGCTTGAGTTTCGAATTAGAAATAAAGACGCCGTAGAGAATACACCATCATTACAATCTAGACCTAGTTGGAACTGGCCCCCAAAATCCCTAATTGTTTTCTTACATTTTACTGTAGCAGTGAATTGTATAGCCATATGGTTTATCCCTGCTTAATAAATTCCTAAATTCATGGCAGACAAAAGTCGAGGTCTGGTTTATGAACCCTACATTTTAGTACTACTGCTTTAACGTATGACGTACGGGAAAACACAGCACTATAATAATGAGAACAATGGTCCGTTGCATATGGAGATTTTTGCTATTAGTTAACCATGAAACATAGTTTTAAATTTACCAGTAAATAAAATCTTATCAGGACTGACTAGTTTGATATCTTTTGTGAGCAGAGTTTCGTAGCCATGCAGGTTTATCATGACATTGGAATTAGGCTTTATATGAAAAGTGTTAAAGGTCAGAAAATTATATAAATTCTAGTAGTGCTTGAAGAAGACAAGGATTATTACACGAAAGATAATGAAGTATTATACGAAGTGCTTAAGATCTCGAAAATGGTAAGAGACTAAACTGTATACCTTTTTACGTCACAGTGTAGCTTCTCTTTATCTTGTAACGTTTGTCTGTGCTTGATCATGTGATAATCTCGTTCATTCTTTACTTTTTTCAACTCATCACTTAGTTTCCTATATAGGGATAAATAATTGTTATTTGGAAGCTTCAAATTACAAAACTGAATTTTTTAAAGTCAGATTTTCTGATCTTATATCTTCTATCATATTTCTCAGCTCATCGTTCTGTATATAAATATCAGGAACTGGGGCAGCTTCTTTACTCAATAAACCTTTATGCAAGAACTTGAACCTAAAAATCGAAATCGAGAAAATATCAAACCATTCTGCCTGAAAGACATTAAGAGTCTCAAGAAATCCATTGTTTTGTAAGTAATTACGGAAAAACTGATCAACAGATGGAGGAGAATCTTGAGAATGAACATCAGAAGCGAGTCCATCAAACCTTTCCTAAACCACGGTTTTAAAAGTTTTGAAGCTACCTTTGCTTCTGAGTCTTTTATCGTCTCCTTGACTCTCAAGACAAGTGGATCAAGGTCATCATCTTTCAATGTGTCTGGTAAATCTTCGATTTTAACCGATACTATAGAAGATGCATTGTCATCTTCAGGAATCTGTTCGCCTTTGAGCAATGCATATTTATAAAAAATAACAAAATGTTACTTTCAATGTAATATTTGTTGTTATCGATATCCATAACTGTCGCCTATCTAAATCCAAGTTTTATTTACTGTTTTGAAAAGTTACGTGGCGTAGCCATGTCAAAATTAGGGGTTAGTACTTTAAAACAAAATTAAGAGTACAACAAAAAACAATGAGTTGTAGGATGTTGAAACAAAAAGTCATTTCTTAAGCTATTTACGTATACTTGCGATATTTTTATATAATTTACTCTGTGCACAATCTGAACTTTTGGAGCCTATTGATTTTTCTCTGATTTTATCGTGTTATGTTGTTAACGAAATATAGAACTAGCATACCTTCATATATAATTATCGACTTTATGTGCGTTAGTTGATAAGGAAATGAAATAAAGGAAATACAGAAATAAGTTTTGGATTGAAATCTGGATTTTGAGTCCTCTCAGTATGTCAGTAACACCCGATTGAGGATGATTCTCTGCTTTGTGATATCGATGAAGTGGTAAATAACTTACTGCAATAAATAACCACACAAACACCTGAAACGCCATAGTCAGTTTTGATGGAGACTACTGGCTAACACCTACCGATTCCGCATCATCGCCAGATCAGTGAGTGACTTCATGAGCATAGGTCACCGACAAGGATTCTCCAACCCACTCTCTCCTGGGCCTTCCTTTCTAACTCTACCCAATTCTTTTTCATTTTTCTCATGTCTATCTTCATTTTTTGGCGTAATGTGTTCTTTGGTCTTCCTCTTTTCCTTTGGCCTTCAGGATTCTATGTGAGGGTTTGCCTTGTGACACAGTTAGGTGGTTTCTTCCATATGTGTCCTATCCACTTCCAGCTCTTCTTCCTAATTTCTTCCTCCGATGGGATCTGGCTTGTTCTTTCACACAGTTGGTTGTTGCTAATAGTGTCCGGCCAACGGATCCGAAGTATTTTGCGTAGAGAACTGTTAATAAACACTTGTGTCTTCTGGATGATGGTTGTGGTAGTTTTCCAAGTTTCAGCTCCGTACAGTTGAACTATCTTGACATTTGTATTGAAAATTATAACTTTAGTGTTGATTGACAACTGTTTTGAGTTCCAGATGTTCTTCAGTTGTAAATATGCTGCTCTTGCTTTACCCACCATGTTCATCATTGATGCTGCCCAAATATGTATAGGCTTTTACATCATCCAAATCGTCTCCGTCAATTGTGACTGGATTGGTGCATGCTGTGTTGTATCGGAGAATCTTGCTCTTCCCTTTGTGTATATTGAGACCTACTGCTGCTGAGGCTGCTGCCACACTGTTAGTCTTCTCCTGCATTTGTTTTTGCGTTGGGGATAGGAGGGCCAGATAATCTGCGAAGTCTAGATCGTCCAACTGCATACTAGAAGTCCACTGTATCCCGTGTTTCCCTTCAAATGTTGACGTCTCCATGATCCAGTCGATCACCAGGAGAAGAAGAAAGGTAGAGAGTAAGGAACGTTGCCTGACACCGGTCTTCGCCTCGAAAGAGTCTGTCAATTGTCCCCCATGCAAAATTTTGCAGTTTAATCTATCATGGGAATTCCGTATGATATTCACTATTTTCAAAGGCACGCCGTAGTATCGAAGTAGCTTCCATAGTGTTGTTCTGTCCACGCTATCAAATGCTTTCTCGTAGTCAATGAAGTTGATGTAGAGTGATGAATTCCATTCAATTGATTGTTCCACAGTGATCCATGGAGTTGCGACTTGGTCTGTACACGATCTATCCTTACGGAATCCTGCCTGTTGGTCACGAATTTGGGCGTCTACGCAGTCCTTCATCCTGTCTAACAATACCCTGTTGAAGACTTTTCCCGGTATTGAGAGAAGAGTGATGCCCCTGTAGTTAGCACACTTGCTGAGATCGCCTTTCTTCGGTATTTTGATCAGAAGTCCTTCTTTCCGCCACGTCTGCTTTTAGTGCCTCTGCTGGAATGTTGTCTGGTCCTGCTGCTTTCCCACTCTTGATTTGTCTGATGGCCATGCTGATTTCTTCAATTGTTGGTGGGCCAACATTGATTGGGAGGTCCGTAGGTGCTGCTTCGATGTTGGGTGGCTTCAGTGGAGCTGGTCGATTCAAGAGTTCTTTGAAGTGTTCTACCCACCTGTTTTGTTGCTCTTCAATGTGGGTGATTAACTTGCCTTCCTTGCTTTTCACTGGTCGTTCTGGTTTGCGGCGATTTCCAGAGAGTTTCTTTGTTATATCATACAGTTGTCTCATGTTTCCTTCTCTTACAGCCTTTCCCGCCGTCGTTGCTAGATCTTCCATATATTTACGTTTGTCGGTTCTGATGCTCCTCTTCATTTGTTTGTTTACTTCTGTGTATTCAGCTTGTGCCTTGGCTTTTTCTGCTCTTGTTCGACTGGTATTGATTTCTGCTTTCTCGTTCCTTCTTTCTTAAATCTTATACAGTGTATCAACAGTGATCCGTTCCTTGTGATGGTGCTTTTTGTGACCCAGGACCTCATGACATGTTGAAGTGATTGCCTCTTTGATCCCCTTCCAGTTGCTGTCCACAGTAGTTCCTTCTCCATTGAGTAGATCATGAAAGGCCTGGAACTTATTGCTGAGGACTATCTTGAATTTGTTGAGTTTGTTAGTATCCTGAAGAAAGGCCGTATTGAACTTTTGTGATATTGTCCGCCCCGTTGTCCAGTGCTTCTTGAGTTTCAATTTCATCTTGGAAACCAGCAAGTGATGATCTGATGCTATATCAGCTCCTCTCTTGGTTCTCACGTCCTCTATAGTCCTCATGAACGTTTTGTTGATGCAAATATGGTCGATTTGGTTTTGTGTAGAGTGATCCGGTGAAGTCCATGTGGTTTTGTGTATGCGTTTATGTGGGAATATGGTGCCGCCTATGACCAGTTTATTGAAGGCACATAGGTTTGCAAATCTCTCACCATTTTCGTTTCTTTCTCCCAGTCCGTGTCGTCCCATGATGTCTTCATATCCAGTGTTGTCCGTTCCAACCTTGGCGTTGAAATCTCCCATCATAATGGTCAGGTCCTTTGTTGGGCACTTCTTGACGTTTGACTGCAGTCTATTGTAGAATTGATCTTTAGCGTCTTCATTGTAGTCGTTGGTAGGCGCATAGCATTGGGTGATGTTCATTGAAATGCCTTCTTTCTTTGTTTTGAAGGAGGCTTTGGTGATCCTTGGTCCATGAGATTCCCATCCTATAAGTGCGTTTTGTTCTCGTTTGGACAACATCAATCCAACTCCTTGTGCATGTGGGGCATTTTCTTCTTCATGGCCGGAGTATAACAGCAGCTCTCCTGTAGTTATTCGTTGTTGTCCAACTTGCGTCCAATGTGTTTCACTGATCCCAAGTACCTCTAGGTTGTATCTACTCATTTCTGCAGAAATTTGGAAGGCTCTCCCGGTGTCTCACATTGTACAAACATTCCATGTACCTAAATAAATTGTTGCTCTGGGTGTCAGAAGGGGCATCTGCCTCGTGACTTCCGAAGGGATTCGGCTTTCATCATGAGGCGTCATAATTCTTCCAAAAAAAGACCTTCGGACTCCTAGGGCAGAGTTTAGGTTTGAATAATTTTTTCTGGTCAGCGTTTTTTTAGCGAGTTAGTTTTCTACGGGATGTGGTTGCTAACCCCATGCTCAATCCCTCTCCTTTATCTGGGCTTGGGATCGGCAGTAGCCCCCAGAGGGACTCCAGGTGGAGATATATATATTACCTTGATAATCAAACCCTTTCCTCGTCAATCATGTGCACTCATTATTAGGAGATTATTGATTGTGCCATATTTCATTTTCATTTGGCGAATTTTGATTCATCTATTGTACTAATTCTCCTGTTCCCCATAGAAAGCTTGGAAGTCTCACTCTCCTCCATTCATAACTAAGACTAAATTTACTTTTCTACACAACACGGAGCACCCTTTTATTTCTACCGGAATATATTTATGAAAACTCCGTAAAGGTTACTTCTGAAGTTGTCAAACTCAGTTTGGTTCTTGAATTGTAAGTGCTAGGAATTATTTATGGAACATTATTACACATATTCTTATCAAAGAATTTTTAAGTAATCATATATATATATATATTGTCGGTTTATTCCTAATTTACTGATTACAGTTTCTTACACTCACAGCCACATTTGACTTGATGTTGTATATTTATTAGTTTGATTCTAAATGTAAGACGCGGTCTGGTCTACATGTGTATAAACCACGCACATTTGAAATATACGATTCATATGGTGGGCGCTGATAATTGTGTTCTGGAATGAACGATCTGCGTTATGCGACAAACCAATATAAATAAGTCCGTTAGGGTTCAGGGCTGACTCAAAGCTGGTCGTGCTGGTTAACGCATCATTGGTTTTGCGCAGGGACAAGATCATTTAAGTTTTTGTTTTGATCGGCGGTTTTGTCAGGTAATATCCGACGGGTTGTAAAATTATGGCATACTTCGTCAGTAGTACTGCTCCTAATATAGACCTAATCCTATAACTGTAGATAACAACCTAATCTATAAGATCTTAGGTGGAAGTCACATGGTTGTGTACACTAACTCATCGTATCAAGACAATAAGCCGTATGAATGGCGTTCCAAAAGAACACTGGCTGGAGATTGAATAATGTACTTAATATGAATAAAAGAGATATGTTACACAAGAGTGACCACGAGTGCAAGGCTGAGTCATGCCATCCGATGGATTGAATTACTGTTCTCACGTTCTCTATAGTTAACAATCTCTTCGTGCCAGTTACTGAATATAAGTCTTTTCAGTAATTATGTGCTCGGCTTCAAAAGTCGTGTGGTTAGGGTCCAATGTCACTACAGGTTCATAGAACATAACAGTTCAATTTGGCTTTTAATATATTTTTGTTTTCTGTTCGCAAATACGCATTATATTACACACTTAAATCTGTCTTACCGCAACAAAATGTTTAATTAATTTGACTTACAACCCCAGAATGCTATCACTTTGAGACATATTGCTTTTAACCAGAAGCTACATTTTAGCCCATGTTTGGTTTGTTTAGAGCATCAACAAGCAGGTTTGAACT